CCCCCCCCCCAGTTTTGCCAGGGATCCCTTCGTTTGTAGGAGCCCCTAGTCTTATTAGTGACACCTTATCTTACAAGGGCTCCTAAATCAATCAAGAACCCTTAACCTGTTAAGGCTCCCAGTCTTGTTAAGATCCCTCATTCCTGCCGGGACCCCCAATAGTATGAGCCCCTAGTCCTGTCAGGGCCCCTGTCTTCCTTCTCTTGTCTGCCCTCCTCCCACGGGCTGCAGCTTCGGAGCTGAGCACTGTGGCCACCCTCAGCCCCCACTTCCTATATAAGTTCAGACATTTATTTAGTGGAAATACATAACTGTGTGTGAAGACAGTGTTTTAAACTGCTGGTGAAATTTCTTTATTTGTAGTAAAGGAATAACTTCAGTGTTGAAGTCAAGCTTCAAATGAAGAAATATTTAATATTTAATAAATATTTAGAAGATCTTTATATGATTGTATAAGGATCTATTTATACATCTGTTTATCTTTATACTTTATACATCTATCTTTATACTGTTGTATAAAGATCTCCCCCCACTTAATAACCTAAAAGATAAATCCATTTCTGTATTTCTCCAATCATTCAATAAATACTATCAAGAACCTACTGTGTGATCTAAACACTTGGAAGCACTTGGAATATGCTAATGTGTGAAACAAAGATCCCTGTCCATGGGGACTTTGCATTTTAATTGAGGGAGACTGAAAATAAACGTGGTGAATCCGTGAATGTTATGTTAGAAGGTGGAGAGCGCTGTGGTGAAAAGAAAAAGTAGAACTGGGTAAAATGTCACGAGAGCAGGTTCTAACAGTTTGTTAGATGTGAGAGGGAGAGACGTTCCTGGCTGCCTGGTGGTTAAGACTGCGCTTCCGCTGCAGGGGGCACAGGTTCAATCCCTGCTTGTGGAACTAAGAGCCCCCATGCCACATGGCAAGGCAAAAAAATAAAAAAAATTTTTTTAAAAAGGAAGGAGGAGAGGGAATGAGTCAAGCAGTGGGACCTGGGGGAAGAGCATCCCAGGCAGAGAGGGCAGCCTTGCAGAGGCCCTGGGGTAGGAGCATGGCTTTGGCTGGGGTGGTGGCCAGTATGGCGGTAGAATGAGAGACAGAGCAAGAGGAAAGCCCTGGACCCTCCTCTCGAGTGAGCTGGGGCTTGGGGAGCTAGTACCCTGACTTAGGTTTTAAATCCTAATATCTGTGTGTGCAGATTTTCAAGACATATCCTGTACTGTATATTACTTTAATTTGAAAGCTAGGTATTTGGCAGGCCAGTGGGTTATTTTGATGAAATGTTATATCTGTGTACCTGTTCCTATATATGCACGTATTGTATTTGCTATGAGGAAAGACAGTCAACTTATTTTCTTTTTTAGATATAAAGTCATGAAGAACTGGGGTGTTATAGGTGGAATTGCTGCTGCTCTTGCAGCAGGAATCTATGTTATTTGGGGTCCCATTACAGAAAGAAAGAAGCGTAGAAAAGGTAAGAATGAAGCCTTTGCATCATGGCCTGTAGACTCGACCCAAACCTTTAATTGTTCAAAAACATTACCAAAGGGGGAGGACATGTATGGTTCTCTTGTGTCTTCAATTTTGTCAACAGTATTTGCTTTTAAGCAGAAGTTAATTTTAGTGACTCATTATTTTATATCCTCTAGTAAAAAGATTTCTATTTCACCCCCACGAAGGGTATGAGTTTGAGACATGCTTCGTAATGAGAAATTTCAAGTGGCTTAATTGTCTAAGTGTCCTCATTATTATGGCCATTGTGTTTTTCAGCTGTACAGCTGCCTAATTGTGTAATGCCTTTGTGCTTTCACTGAATGGCTGCTAGTCACTAGTAAATAGTCACTAGTAAATGTTTCAAACTCATTTCTTCATTAACAAAAAAATCTATTTTCTTATCTTTAAGAAAGCCCCCTTTTGTCAATGTTGCACTACTTATATTGATTAAAATTCAGCCAAAATAAATACATAAAAGGGACAGATGTAACAAAATGTTGGTCATTTTTTAAAAATTTATTTTTTTTAATCGGAGGATAATTGCTTTACGATGTTATGTTGATTTCTGACATCAACATAAAGCAGCCGTCGGTATACACATGTCCCCTCCCTCTTGAACCTTCCTTCCCCCTCCCACCCCGTCCTGGATCATTGTTCAATCTGGGGATGGTTGTTATTGGGGTTTGTTAGGTATCTACTCTTCTTTTGTGGATGTTTGAGAACTTTCATAATAAAAATTTTGTTTTTGTTGTTTTCAGTTTCAGCAGAATAGGGAAGTATGTCAGATCTTGTTAATCTCTTTGCAGAAAGACGGATCAGAATGGCAGGAGCAGTGTCTTTCCCACTGATTATAAGAACAAAATCATTGTCCTGGGGGAGCAAGAACAAAACGATTGTTGTCTTCTGTTGTGAGAAACATTGCTTTCTTAACAAAGGAGAGAGAGTGAGGGAGAGAAAGAGAGAGAGGTTACTAAGTGTTTCTGTACATTTAATGTAAGCCAGGCTGTGCCAGACACTCTGGTGCTCTGGTGAGTTTCACGAGTCCCACGTGGCCAGGACCTGCCCTTCTACAGCCTATGATCTCCTGAAGGAGCATTATTAGGGCCAGGCCTCAGCTGGGACGAAACGCTCGGCCCCCTGGTCTCTGTGGATGAGGGCTTTCTGAAACTGGGGTTTCCAGCCCAAGGCCACGGTGCAGGAGCCCTGGGGCCCGGATGGGAGAGGAACAAAGAGCCAGTCTAGTGTGAGGTGCTGTTCTCTTCTCCCCCCTCACTTAGGGCTTGTGCCTGGCCTTGTCAACTTGGGGAACACCTGCTTCATGAACTCCCTGCTGCAGGGCCTGTCTGCCTGCCCCACCTTCATCAAGTGGCTGGAAGAGTTCACCACCCAGTACACCGGGGGTCACAAGGAGCCCCCCCAACACCAGTACTTATCGTTGACGCTGTTGCACCTCCTGAAAGGTACTGAATTGGTAATGGAAAGGGGATTGTGTGTATTTTCTTTCTTTCTTTTTTTTTTTTTGATTGTGTGTATTTTCAAAGCAGCAGCCCAGAGGGCAGGCAAAGGGTTAATAGCCTTCCTGTAGAAAAAAAAAATCACATAGATTCTTATGAAAAAAGCAGTAAGGGCCCAATAGATACACTCAGGCTGTGTTGTTGTTTTTTTTTTAATCAAAAATGTAATCATTTATTTTAAAAATTGTCTATATTAATAGCATAATAGTGAAGTACCACTTTTTGGCCTGTTAGCAAAGATGGAAAAGCAAATCTGCAGTCCTGAGCTGCCCCTGGGCGACACGTCCGTACGTGCTGGTGGTGTCACTCGAGACAGCCTTGGGGGAAGGCGGCTTGGAACCACGTGGTGGCGGCTTGCAACACCCAGGACCATTTGACCTAGTCATTCAGTGGGCTGTGATCTACACTAGCTGGGGGTGGAGTTTGTTCCCAGGGCAGGCACGCTTGGGAATGGCCCAGTACTAGCCCTGAGGTTGGAAAGCCATGGTGTACGTGGGCTTGGTAAAGGTTTAAAGAGGCCACCAATCTAACTTCATTTAAAAAAACATTGGATATAACTGCTTTACAACGTTGTACTCGTTTCTGCTGTACAACAGCACGAATCAGCCTCAGGCACACAGATGTCTGCTCGCTCTTGAGCCTCCTTCCCACCCCCCACTCTCCATTCCACCCTCCTGGGTCATCACAGAGCACTAGTCCACTGGTCCATTCTCAACAACTGTGTCTCTCTTCCTGCCCTGCAGGTAGGTGCATCAGTACCATTTTTCTAGATTCCATAATAGTGAATAGTGAAGTCGCTCAGTCGTGTCTGACTCTTTGTGACCCCGTGGACTGTAGCCCACCAGGCTCCTTCGTCCGTGGGATTCTCCAGGCAAGAATACTGGAGTGGGTTGCCATTTGCTTCTCCAGGAGATCTTCCTGACCCAGGGATCAAACCCAGGTCTCTCACATTGCAGGCAGATGCTTTAACCTCTGAGCTACCAGGGGAGATACCCATTATAATAGATACATGTTAATATACAGTATTTGTTTTTCTCTTTCTTCACTCTGTATGACCAAGGCTCTAGGTTCATCCACCTCACTACAAGTGACTCAGTTCTGTTCCTTCTTATGGCTCAGTAATATTCCATTGTATATATGTATCACAACTTCTTTATCCATTCATCTCTCGATGGACATCTAAGTTGCTTCCTCTCATTTTACTTTTAACCACTTTTTTTTTTCACTGTAAAACTGGTTTTTCCTCCTGTAGCATCTGTACACCCCTACAGGCAGACACCAAAATCTGCAGATGCTCAAGCCTCTTATATGAAATGTCATAGTATTTGTGTATAACCCGTGCACATCCTTCCATCAACTTTCAGTCATCTCTACATTACATATAATACCTGATATGATGTAAATAGTTGCCAGTGCCTGGAAGATTCAAGTTTTGCTTTTGGGGACTCTGGAATTTTTTTCCCTGAGTATTTTCAATCTTTGGTTGATGAAATCTGAGGATATGGAACCAGTGGGTATGGATGGCATCTGTATGAGCAAAGACTTCCAACACCTTGCTGTAATGGGGGTTGGGGGGGAGCAAGGGAAGAATGTGGTTATCCAGCAGTAGGGTGATTAGGCCAGCAATGGAATGTTACACAGCCGTTAAGAATCATCTTTCTGAAGTTTAATTTGGGAGGAGGCATCGGCTATCCTATTAAGTTTAAAAGAGCAGGATACAAAATATGGTATAATTTGATTTCAGAAAAGTGAAAATGACCTCAGATTAAGGGTGGACAGACAAAGGCCAAAACGTTAACCATGGATATTTTGGTGTGGTACAGGTGACAATTTAAAAAGATGGAAAAAACCTACTAAAACTTTCAATAATGATTGTGTATTATTTCCATAGTCAGAAAAAAAAAAATTGGATTTTGAAAACACTTAGCTGAATATTGCTTAACCTGAGGTATGATCTCACCTTGACCAGAAACCTTTATGAAAAACAAGTTCTGCTCTTCTACATAAGAGGCAACTTGAAACTCTTTTCTTTTACTGACCTGTTTAAAAAAAAAAAGAACCATCCTAAAGACTGTGTGAAAAGCTGACATGTCTACACGAGTGTCATGATGCAGGGTAGGTGTTGTCGGGTTAGGTGGTGTCTTCCCGCCATATACTCCCTTCTCTGCTTCTGCCTCTCATTATCTTTTATTCTGGTTTTTAGAAATAATATTTAATTCTGTAAGTAATACCTGAATAGATTCTCCTTGTGAAAAGTTAAAGCATTACAGAGAGGCCTGAAATTCTCTTTATGACTATCCCAACCCTGCTCCCCTCCTTCCTTTCCGAAAGCAAAAGATAAGTGTAACCTTCCAGACCATGTCTGTGCATTTAACTGCATTTCTACCTACCCACAGAAATGATATATGATGTTCTTTGTTTTTTTCATGACCAGATAACCTGATGTGTATTAGAGAAACAGCCGTTTCATACACATACTTCTCCCTCATTCACTGTTTTTTTTCTTTTCCTGAATTTACTGGTCTCATATATTTTGTCTTCTGTGAACTACTAGCTCATATCTTTTGCCCATTTAAAAAATTGTGGTAAAATATTCATAACTTAAAATTTACCATGTTAAGCATTTTCAAGTAAACAGTTCTGTAAGTATGGGCAACCATGACCACTGTTCATCTCTAGAACATTTTCATCTTCCATGTCGAAACTCTGTATCCATTAAACAGTTAACTCCCTGTTTTCTACTACCCCCAGGCCCTGGTAACCGCTATTCTACTTTCTGTCTCTGTGAGTTTGACTGTGTACTTTATTTTAGTGGAATCACACAATATATCTGTTGTTTTGTATCCGGTTTATTTCACTTAGCATCGTGTCCGTGAGGTTTATCCACACTGAAGCGTGTGTCTGAGTGTCATTCCTGCAGGCTGAGTGTGAATGGCTTTCCGGTGTGTGTGCATTGTATATTCACCACAGTTTGTTCACCCGCTCATGGGTCAGTGGGTGTTCAGGTTGTTCCCACCTTCTGGCCATTGTGAACAATGCTGCTGTGGACATTGGTGGACTTATTTATCTGTTCAAGCCCCTCCTTTTGATTTTGGGGGGTTATGTACCCAGACGTGGACTCGCTGGATCAGATGGGAATTCTGTTTAATACTTTGAGGAGTCACCACACCGCTTTCCACGGCAGCTATAGTCTTTTACCTTCCCTTTGCACAGATGTTCCAGTTCTCAACATCCTCACCAGCACTTGTTATTGTCTGTCTTTCTGATAACAGCCACCTCCATAGGTGTGAAAGTGATGTCTCATTGTGGCCTTGATTTGCATTTCCCTAATCATAAGTCACGTTGAGCATCTTCTCATGTGTTTAATGAATTATATATATATATATATTTAAATGTCCGTTCTAATCTTTCATCCATTTTTGAAATCAGTTTTCTGTGTTTTTGTTGTTGATTTTAGGAGTTTTTTTTAAATTTGTTTTGAGTCTTAATCCCTTATCACATGTGTGGTTTGCAAAACGTCATGCACCTTTCCAGCTGCACCATGTCCCCCCTCTACTTAGCTATTAACTTCCGGTGCCTTGTCTGGATAAACTGGCTGTAGTGAACCTCCTTGTACATGGCCATCAAGCACACAGTCACATGTTTCCGTGGGTAGATCCTGAGAAAGTCAGGTTGCTGGGTTGTAAGATAGGAAAATGAGTAGACCTTGCCACACTGCCCCACAGTGTTGTAGGCAAAATTGGGCTAAAGGGGACATTCAAATGTTCTTTGGGAGGGAAAAAGCTAACAGAGGGCTGCCTAGGGCTATAGGAGGGAGAAGGAAGGAATAATACCTCTTTGGACTGGTACCCTTCTGGAGGGAAAAGGTCTGACCCCAGGGTTTATTGCACCAGTAACTGGCTACCAGCTGCCAGGGCTGCTGCTTCTCCTCAGGTCACCACCCAAGGCACCAACCGTGATTCGGCAGAGGTGGGGGTGGCAGTGATCAGGGCTTCCCGGGTCAGAGCCATCTCGCCAGCTCGCTGACTGCAAATCACAGAGAAGAAACACTAGCTTAATTTATCTGGAGAGTCACGAAACTCCCAGAAACTGCACTGAGAGGCAGTCTCCTCCTATATTTTTATCTCCTTTATCTCATGGCCGTGCTGATTCAGTGTGATATATTGGTCCTTAATAATATGCTCAGGGAAGAGGGTGGTCAGGATCAGGAATTGATAAACTTTGGCCACAGGGCCAAATTTCTGTACCACCTGTTTTTGTGAATAAAATTTTACTGAAACACAGCCATGTCCATTTATTTACATGTTATTGATATAATATTGTGTATGTATCTATGTAATATATACTGTTACACATCATCTGTATAGTATTACATATCTGTATAATATTACATACTCTCTATCTATCACCTGTGACTGCTTTTTGCTTTATGCTGGCAGAGTTGAGTAGTTGCTACGGAGACCTGCACAGCCTAAAGTGTTTACTAGCTGACCTTTTACAGAAAAAGTTTGCCAACCCCTGATGCAGATTTAATTGCAATATAAATTCATAAACTCATCAGACTTTTATGTGTATCTGTTAGGCTTGATTCTACTCAGATTGAATTCCCTGGTTGTCCAGGGGTTAGGCCTCGGTGCGTTCCCTGCTGAAGGCCGGGTTCAATATCTAGTCTAGGAGCTAAGACCCCAAAAGCCATGTGGCATGACCAAAAACAACAACAACAAAAAGAAAAAAGAAAAGTAAACCATTCAGAGGACTCTTTCAGGCTGCCTCACAGTGCTTGATGCTTTGTAGTAATAGTCAGAAACTCATGCAGACAAGGCCTGATGGTCCTGGTAGAGAGTCCTGTAGAGAAGGGGTTAGGCAGAAAGTATAGGGCTGGACCAGATGGATGTTTAAGGGATCTTTAAGTCCCTCTGAGGTGAGAGTTAAAATCATTTTATTCAACATGAATCTTGTAACAGTAAGTTTCTGTTGATGATAGTAATTCAAAGATCTGAAAGTCGATTACTAAATGCTGCGGCCACATGAAGATTTCATTCATTCAGCAAACTCCAGGTGTCTACCAGCATCCTAAGCACTGGGTAAGGCTACAAGGAAGAGTAACAAAAGAGATACAATTCCAGGGTGAATTTTCTAGTCCTTCCATTTTTAATTAGCTTTGACACATCTTTCTGCACAGGTTTTCTTGGTTAGTTGTGTTGGTTCACTTAATAACAGTGTTGCCTTTTTTGATTCCAGCTTTATCCTGCCAAGAAGTCACTGACGAAGAGGTCTTGGATGCAAGCTGCTTGTTGGACGTCTTAAGAATGTACCGATGGCAGATCTCTTCATTTGAAGAGCAGGTGAACACGACATTCAAAACAGGTTTCCTTGGAGACTCCTTCCCATTCATGAGCTGGGGCCTGAGCCCCAGAAACAGGAGCTTCCGCTGCAGCAGGAGGAGTAAATGCCAGCGTTGACCTCGCAGTTAGTTGCCAGGCCTGCGTGGACGTTCCCGTGACGTTTCAGACAGCCTGAGTGTCCTGAGAGCAGGTTGTGATTGGGGACAAGGAAGGTTCACAGGACAGGTTCACTGTTGCCAGGGAGGGGAAACCTTTTTAGTTCTCAAATGAGTTTGCACTTCAGTGGCTGACGGGGACACGTGAGGCCTTCAGAGAAAGGTGAGTGGCTCTACCTTAGAGGCTCAGAGGTTCAGATGTGGCTCTTCTTTAGAGTATACCTTCTTTTTTTTTAAAAAAGCAGGTCTTTCTTCAGAGGCTGGCTGTCATATGCAGCCCCAGGGCCTTCCTCCAGCCAGGCCTTCCAGACTGTAGCCTCACTGTCCTCGTTGGTGCTGGCCACCCTCCTCCCCTTCCCCAGAGGACAGTGCTGGGGCCGAGAGAGTGAAGTTCTAGGCACCAAAGGTTTCGCCTCCGTGTGTGTGCTCTTCCGGCAGTACCTCCTCCTGTCTGCAACATTCCAGGCTGGCCCCGGCCAGCTTTGTGTTGGCCGCTTCCGCCTCCACGGTCCATCCCCTGGACCAGAGCCTTTGGGCTCCCCAAACTGTGGGGCTGAAGTGAGAGGCATTTAAGAACTCAGAAAAGTGAGGTGGGAAGGCTTTCTCACTCCCCTTTTCTTTCAAGATGGTCTCCGTTTCTGCTTTACTCGGAAGCCATGTGTGTGTTACTTTTTAAACATGATGTTGAGAGTATCTCTATTTTCTCATGATGCTTCTTGACTAATCCATTACTTGTTGAAATATTTTTCCATTTAGAAACTACTTTTGTAATCCTCCTCTGGTAACTGGAATTATTTAGTTACAATTCACATTTCTCTAAACTGAGAGCGACTGGGGTTTAGTCCTTCAGGACATCAGATAGCTGTCGGCTGAAAAGAAAAAAAGTGTACAACCTTAAAGCCAAGAATCAGGTTTTATTTGACTGGCGTACTGAAGGCAGGACTTCAGCAGGGAGACAGCCTCTCAGATAGCTCTGGGGGCTTCTACGAAGAGGTAAGGGAGGAGCCGGGATATATCAAGTGTTTGCAAAAAATCCCGGTAGTCAGAACATCAAAAGAGTGCTGTTAATGAAAGAAAAGCCGAACTTCCCAAGTTAATGAATTAAGCACTGTTCTGCAGAAGGGAAGGTGTACACGTCTGGGCTCATTGAAGTCATTCCTTCGATACTCACCTTAGCTATCTCAGGCCCATATCCTGCTTTTCTCCATCCTGAATCCCCTCAGGGTGCACAGTTGGGGGTGACTGCAGGGCTGGTGGTTTGGTGGCCACACCGTCCTTTGTTTACTGATGTGACAGGTGACATTCTTTGTCCACATTCCCTACTGTTCTGTCATGGACCCACTTGGGTTCCAGTTGCTCCTGGGGAGTGTTTCCAGGGTCTGACGCTTAGCCGCGTGGCACTGTGGTGTGCGTGGGGAGAGAAGGTGCCCCTGTCTGTGGTTCCCTTCCTCTCTGAGCACATCAGAGCATCTGGCATGGGACCTGGTCCATACCTTCACTGTTGGTGATCAGGTCAGCCAGCCACTTTAATAACTGTTTCCGTTGAACGCACTGGGCCTTGAGAAGCTGGAAAGCAAACTCCACCCAGCTTAGCCATAGAGGGTCTGCCTGGCAGTGCCCACAGCAGGTGGTTCTGACATGGCCCGGCCTCTCCAGCCGTTCTGAAGAACGCTCTGCCCTCTTGACAGGACGCCCACGAGTTATTCCACGTGATCACCTCGTCACTGGAGGATGAGCGGGACCGCCAGCCCCGGGTCACACATCTGTTTGATGTGCATTCCCTGGAGGTAAACCGTTAAAACGCTCTTAGTACACCCGATGTGGTCTGTGCACATCGAACAGGTGCAGGGGACACAAGCGTGATTTTCTTACAACTTTAAACTCAAAAGTAAGATTGGATCAAAAGCCAGTAGTGGAAGTGAGGCCGGGGGAGGGTCTGAAGTGTCACAGTTGGCAGTCAGTGACTGTGGTTAGCAATGTTGAGGTTCTTGAAAGCAATCCTTTGCTGCGATTTGCATTGGCCTTGAGAGGATAGAGTGTATTCCACCCTCCCATCCCTCACCCCACCATTTAATACAGGAGAGCAAGGAGCCACAAGAATGCTCAATGAATCTCATTTCCCTGGCACATTGTAAATGTGAGGGAGTTGATAAAAGTTAACTAGTCAAAGAAGTGGGGTGCAGATATTCCAGACAGAAAAGGTGTTCAATTGCATTTGGTGAAGGAATAGGTACAGAAATCAGTCAGAGAGCATAGTTAAGGCTGCTTTTAGGAAGCTTAGTTTGAAGTTGATTTTTGAACAGGGCACTCAGCACAGAAACGAGAGATTTAAGAGGGGATTGAGGGTGGGTGGCCAGAAGGAGAGCAGTAGGGTTCTCAGCCTCTTTCTCTTTCTTCCCCTGCAGCAGACAGAAGTAACTCCCAGACAGATCACCTGCCGCACCAGAGGTAGTTGTTTTCCCTTGAACTGTAATGTGTGAGATGTGTGCCTTTTCGATAGGGCAGTAATTTGCTTTATGTTTGCTAAAAATGTTTTTTTCTGGTGACATCCATCCCAACTTGGAGTGTGCGCATTTGAGAGGAACTTGTGTTTCGGAAACTGCTCTAAACTGTCCCCCCAGTGAGCATCTCTAGTGTTCCATCACAGCTGAGTTCTGCTCAGTTTCTGCTTAATGGACCTGTTTCTACCTCAAATGATGGTCTCTCTCTACCCTCTTGAATTGGCCCTGTAACTTAATAAGCTGAAGATGCCATGTCCTCAGCGTTTCCATTGTGGCCAGCTGTTCCTGCAAATGCTCGCAGGCCTCCCTAGAAGGAAATCATTGTTTTCTTAAGAAAAGGACACATCAGTTCCTTTGCACACTGGTAGCAATGAGAACAGTTATCTCTTGGGTCCCTGCTGTGTGCCAGGCACCATAATACCTCACACAAGCCTGCCAGCGGCTCTGGGAAGGTGGTGGTGTGGGGCATGCGCCTAGTTGCTCAGTCACAAGGTTGCTCCATCCACGGGATTTTTCAGGCAAGACTCCTGGAGTGGTTGCCAATTCCTTCTCCCGGAAATCTTGCCAATCCAGGGATTGAACCCATGCCTCCTGTGTTGCAGACGGATCCTTTACCGGCTGAGCCGTCAGGGAAGCCCCAGGTGTGGGGCATAGTAGTATCATAATCATCCCCATTTCCAGAAAACTGAGGCTGATAAACATGAAGTCTGGCTCTGAGCCCCATGACTAAAGAAGCAAAGCCAGGACCCAGCCCAGGCTGGCCTGTCTTCCAGCCCATGGTCCTAACTGGCACATCATACCGCTATGTTTATTCCACTAACCCCCATCCTATCCCCCCAAACCCCAGGTCTTTAGAATCTGCTTATTCTGATGTTTTCAGAAGTCTTTTTTTTTTTTTTTTTCTGCCTTTGTTTTCTTTTGGCCTTTCCTCATGGCATGCAGGATCTTAGTTCCCTGACCAGGGATCAAGTCCAATCTCCATGCAGTGAAAGCTTGGAGTCTTAACCAATAGACTGCCTGGGAAGTCCAGAAACTTTTTTTTCTAAAGAGGGTGTTTGTACCACGTACTAAGAAGGAGAGTGAATTTTGAGGTTGGTGCCGAAGGGCTAGAGGTGGCCTATCCAAAGGTGTTCTGTGTTTCAGGGTCACCGCATCCCACATCCAACCACTGGAAGTCTCAGCATCCTTTTCACGGAAGACTCACGAGTAACATGGTCTGCAAACACTGTGAGCATCAGGTAAATACACTACCAGTGCCTGATATTTTCTGGCAAGGTTTTATTTAAGATTCATGAAGGAACCAGAGTGTGCGGACTGACACTGGTGTTTGGCTTTTGTGATTTTCTGGGGTCTCTGTGCTTAGTCAACTGACTGCCCACATTTGGTGAGTGCCGACATGCCAGTTGACTCTCAGATGGCATCTTCTGTACCAAGAGCAGCAGACCCATTGTGGACTGGCAGGGTTTTGAGTCCTAAGGTTGGATCTATACTCGTGGTGAACACAACAGGTTCTTGGGCTGGTTTTTTTCGTTTAGTTTTGGTGTGTGTATGTGTGTGTGTTTTGTTTCTGAGATTTTAAAATGTTATTGTGCAAAATTTTGAACATGATGCAAAAACAGAATTGTACAGCTGTCACCTCAGTCAATTTTAGAATATTTTTATCATCTCCCCCACCACACACACGAAGAAACCAACCCTGTATCCATTAGCTTCCTTTCTTATTTCTCCTCACACTGTCAGTCCTAGGAAACCACTAATCTACTTTCTGTCTTTATAGATTTGTCTGTTTGGGACATTTCATACAAATGGAATCATACAATGTATGGTGCCCTGAGACTCGCTTCTTTTACTCAGCATAATGTTTTCAGGGTTCTTCTATGTTGTAGCCTATACCAGTGCTTTATTCCTGTTTATTACCAAGTAATATTCTACTGTATGACTGGACCACATTTTGTTTATCCAGCCATCAGTTGTTGGACATTTGAGTCGTTTCTGCTTTTCAGCTCTTATGTATAATGCTGCTGTGAATAGTTATGTGCACATTTTTGTGGGAACATGTTTTTATCTCTTGTTTAGTATTTCCCTAGGAGTAGAGTTGCTCACTCATATGGTAACTCTAAGTTTAACCTCTTGAGAGACTGCCAGACTATTTTTCCACTTCCACCAGCAGTGAATGAAGTTTCAAATTTTTCTACTTCCTCACCAACACTTATTATCTAAGTTTTTATTTATAGCTATTCTCTAGTGTGCAACATGGTGTCTCTTTTTTTTTTTCTCTCTCATTGTGGTTTTAATTGGCCTTACCATGAGAACTGGGGCTTCCCATGTCTCCTGCCAGTGTGGGAGACGTAAGAGACACTGGTTTGATCCCTGGGTCAAGAAGATCCCCTGGAGGAAGGCATGGCAACCCACTCCAGTGTTCTTGCCTAGAGAATCCCGTGGATAGAGGAGCCTGGCAGGCTACAGTCCATGGGGTCACAAAGAGTTGGACATGACTGAGTGACTAATGATGTTGAATCTTTTTTTTAATAAGTTCTCTATTGATTTTATTATTTATTATTTTACTTATAAATAAATAAAATTAGGTTTCTTTTGGCTGTGCTGGGTCTTCAGCCAGCAAGGACTGTTCTTTGTTGCGTATGCAGGCTTCTCATTGCGGTGGCCTTTCTTGGTGCAGAGCATGGGCTCTGGAGCATTGACTGTGTGGTTGCGGTGCTCGGGATTAGTTGCTCTATGGCATATGGGTTCTTCCTGGACCACGGATTGAACTCCTGTGTCCTGCATTGGCAGGCGAATTCTTAACCACCGGGCTGCCAGGGAAGTCCCAAAAGCAGGAACTCTTATGCAATGTATTTTGTCATCTGTTTTTTTCTGGGGGGCAGGGCTGCCAATTAGTCATAAAACATGCACACATGACTACATGTGTAGTCATGTATACTTCTACTGCAGTATTTTAAATATAGTATTCCATTCTATGTGGACCTGATATAATTTACTTTATTATTCCCTAGAAGTTTCACCCATTCACATTTTGCTGTTTTAAGTGGTGCTGTGATAACTACATCCTTGTAGTTACGTTGTCCATGGTTATTTCCTTAGGATAATATCCCCATTTTGCTGAGTCAGGTATGTTATTGTACAGTTTTACAAGCTGTCCTTTAGTATTATTGTAGTTCTTATGTTTACAAAGTTGTTCTTAATAGACTTTGCTCCTTGGTAAGTACATTATGTTTGACTATGTTACTGTTGGGCTTGTAAATATGAAACTGTTTTATAGGCATATATCTTCCCACTTACAAAACTTTGATTTGAATCTAAGTCCTTTCTGTATTTCCTGAAATTTATGTTTCAGAGTCCCGTTCGATTTGATACCTTCGACAGTCTTTCACTCAGTATTCCAGCCGCCACTTGGGTATGTACCGATCTCTGGTTTATTTCGAGTCTGTTTCAGAGACATCTGAATCTGAAAGGGCTTTGAGGCATCTTGTGTAACTCAGGTACTACACATGACTCAGACACATAGTTGGTTGAACCTGTGTTAGTTTTAATCTGTGGTTACCATGACCTGTCTGGGGAAGAAGAAGGTGTTTTCTCTTTTGTGCAGAACTTTTGGCTTTTTTGAATACATATACGCGTACCTCTCAAGTTCAAAGATGCATAAAACAGCATGGAATCACATACTTTTATGCAGTTTTGGGTCCTCATACCCTTGAATCCGTCCAGAATAACAAATCTAGGATGCTCTGAGCTCCCCATTTTGTTTGGGAAACACCCAGTTGTGTCTATGAAGCCTTGCTGCCTACCTAAGCAGAATAAAGCTCTGGGCTTCGCCCTGCTAAGAGTGTCAGCCCAGCTCTCCTTGAATTGTAATCATGAATGTGATTCTTGTGCCATAGGGTCATCCACTGACCCTGGACCACTGCCTTCACCACTTCATCTCGTCGGAATCTGTGCGGGATGTCGTCTGTGACAACTGTACGAAGGTATGCCTTTAGCTCCGGCCACCATCTCCCGAGCTGGCCTCCGTGTCCAGATACAGGGCCTCGCATACCCTCAGCCCTGAGCCCTGTTGACTGGCCCAGAGGCTCCCTGCAGGCACAGCCACCTCCACCTCACTAGCTTAGAAAATTGGCAGCCCATGAAACTATATCTTTTCCCCAGATGAGTTGTTTCATTCACAGAATGCTTAAAGGAAAAAAATTGAATCATATGCTTTGAGGTGAGACATGCCCGCTCCAATTTGCTCCAGTCCCCTCCATGACCACCTGTCTCACTCCTGCCCACCTGCCCCAGGAATCTCATCCTCTGAATTAAGAGGAAGTGTATGGGAAAGAATTTTTTCCCATACAGATGACAGGCAGCCAGTGCCAGAGTTTCACTGCGGCCTCTTTGTTTTTCTTGCTGCCACGGTCACAGTTATTTAATGACTGTTGTATTTGTTCAGTCGCTAAGTTATGTCCGACTCTGGGCGACCCCTTGGACTACAGTATGCCAAGCTTCCCTGTCCTTCACTATCTCCCGGAGTTTGCTCAAACTCACGTCCATTGAGTTGGTGATGCCATCCAACCATGTCATCCTCTTTAAAACAATGAAAGCAAAAGTCGCTCAGTCGTGTCCTACTCTTTGCAACCCTACGGACTATACAGTCCATGGAATTCTCCAGGCCAGAATACTGGAGTGGGTAGCCGTTCCCTTTTCCAGGGGATCTTCCCAACCCAGGGATCAAACCCAGGTCTCCCGCATCGCAGGTGGATTCTCTACCAGCTGAGCCACCAGGGAAGCCCAAGAATACTGGAGTGGGGAGCCCATCCCTTCTCCAGGGGATCTTCCCGACCTTGGAATCCAGCTGGGATCACCTGCATTGCAGGTGGATTCTTTACCAGCTGAGCTACCAGGGAAGTCCACTTAAAACAGTGAAACCAACTTGCAAATGTCTGGGCAGCTGAGTTTCTTCAGCAGGTGGATGCCAAGTGCCCAGTGAATGCTGGGATAACTCCAGCCTGCCCCTCTGCTCTTCCTGAGGGTCCTGTTTCAGGAATTTCTTCAGAGAGATGTTTCCTTTATTTCAGATTGAGGCAAAAGGGACGCTGAATGGGGAGAAGGTGGAACACCAGAGGACCACATTTGTCAAACAATTAAAACTGGGGAAGGTGAGCCTACACTGCACACCTGGCCAGCTCTATCTCCGGAGCACCCCAGATCCTCTGCTCCCAGGACCCCCGGGTCCAGCTCTGCTCTGGGGGCCCCCTGGGTCCCGCTCCGACCCTCTGCTCTTTCCATCTCTCCTGCCGCAGCTACCGCAGTGCCTGTGCATCCACCTCCAGCGGCTGAGCTGGTCCAGCCACGGCACGCCCCTGAAGCGGCATGAGCACGTGCAGTTCGGCGAGTTCCTGATGATGGACATCTACAAGTACCACCTCCTGGGGCACAAGCCCAGCCACCACAGCCCTGAGCGGTGTGAGAAGGCAGGGCCCGCGCCGGAGCTGCAGGACGGGCCGGCAGCCCCCAAGTCAGGTGGGTGTCCCAGGGGCAGAGGGACGGACCCTCTGGGCCCTGGTGACACTTAAATTCTTGAGAAGAGCAGGATCGGGGGGTGAGAGGAGGAGGGCTTCATAAAGGAGGTTACAATGACACAGTGATGTCTAGTTTTTAAAAGCTCTATGATGGATGGAAACATAACAGGCAGGAGAGTGGAAGGTTGCTTTCTGATCTGACTAAATAATTGACTCACCTCATTCCACTGAGTTTCTTCTCTTTTCTGCCACTGTACAGTCACCTAGTTTATATATGTATATATTCAGCTTTTAATGGAGGGTGATTGCTTTACAGTATGTTGGTCTTTGCTGTCCAGCAGTGTGAGTCAGCTCTGTGTCCAAGTCACTCAGTCGTGTCTGACTCTTTGTGACCCATGGACTGCAGCCCGCCAGGCGCCTCTGTTCATGCGCTTCTCCAGGCAATACTGGAGTGGGTTGCCATTTCCTTTTCCAGGGGATCATCCCAACCCAGGGATCGAACCCAGGTCGCTCACATTGCAGGTGGATTCTTTACCATCTGAGCCACCGGGGGATCAGCTGTAGTGTAGGTATACATATACCTCCTCCCTCTTGAGGCGCCCTCCCACCACCTCCTTTAGACAGGGAATGTGGGGAGGCAGTGTCCTGGCTGAAGATCCCTAAACATCTTACTTGGGTTGCTGCTGCTTTACTAAATTGCTGATTTATCTGATCCAATTACAATCCTCCCTTGAGGTTAATCCTTGACTCAGGAACCAGTGAAGCCAGGTAGCTGTTATCACCTTCAGTCTTGCTGAAGAGAGAGCCAAGGCTCCCAGAGGCTGAGTGATGGGTCTAGATGGGACATCTGGCACTGGAATAGAGCATGGGGCAGTTCTGTAAAGGTCTTGTATGTAATGTGTTTAGTTCTTTATTAATGAGGGAAAACCCAGTGATTTTAATGGCTCAAAGCCTGAACATCCCGTCCCATTCCACCTTCCCCCCTGCCCAGTTTGCTGCTCCTAGTCAAGCCAGGACTGTCTTCCCTGCACCCTGGCCTTTCCCCACCTAGCACCCCTCACTTTTAGTCTTTCTTTTTTTAATATTTATTTTTATTTATTTATTTGGCCCACCAGGTCTTAGTTGTGGCATGTGGGATCTAGTTCCCTGACCAGGGATCGAACCTGGGCCCCCTGCACTGGGAGCATAGTCTCAGCCACTGGACCACCAGGGAAGTCTCTGCACCCTCACTACTGTTATTCCTTTTTACATCCAGCTGCGTGGCCTGGCAGGACATCATTCACAGGGAGATGGAGATTTGTTCTTTCTCAGCAGATCCGTAGATTAATATAGAGTAGAGCAGCAAGGGTGGGAAGAGGGCCCAGTTTTAAATCAAGGGCTTCTTGGCCTCACTTTCTCCTCTCCCAGGCAGGGGCACAGGTCTGCCAATGTTCAGAGCATGGTGGTTAAAGAAGCCAACAGTGAGCTAGTAGGTATTAAAGGCCCCCAGATATGACACTTGAAAGGAGAAGAGATGTAAACATCTCCTTAATTATCTCATCTGCACCCGTGAACACATCCCTGCAGTCTTCGACTGCTGCTCCTCAGAAGCTGACGGTGGAGAAAAGAGAATGTTTGGATCAGTGCTTTTCAGCAGGGAGTCTGGCCCCCAGGGGACACTGGGCTGAGGCTGGTGGCGTGTTTGGTTGTCACGGCCGGGAGAGGAGGGGCTGTTGTGAGTGGAGGCCAGACATGCTGCTCAGCATCCTGCAAGTGCCCTGGACAGTCCCCCACAAAGGGCGACCAGAGCTTCAAGGAGAAGACTCGGTTTAGATCAGTTCAGTTCAGTCGCTCAGTCGTGTCTGACTCTTTGCGACCCCATGAACCGCAGCACGCCAGGCCTCCCTATCCATCACCAGCTCCGAGTTCACCCAAACCCATGTCCATTGAGTTGGTGATGCCATCCAACTATCTCATCCTGTTGTCCCCTTCTCCTGTCCTCAATCAGGTTTCGGTCAGAAGGCCAGTAAGCGGGCCACTGCTTGGCTCTGACACATGTCTTCAGCAGCCAGGCCTGGAAATCTCAAAGATCCACAAAGCTGTCACAGGGAGCAGGAGGCTGGGAGGAGGATACAGTTTTTCTATTTGGGAATAAAGCAGGCGGAGACAAAAAAGTAGGAACTTTTATGAATCAACATAGTACAAAGTTAAATTATCTGTTTTTCCTTTGTAACCTTATCAGGGAGTTAAATCTCAAGCTAAGCGAACACCACGTTTTGTTTACCCAGAGCTGCTACTCATCTTAATCGCCTCTGACCTTTTTCTCTTACAGTTCGCAATCACCCGGGGGGCCCTAAAACACAGATTTTCGTGAATGGCGCCTGCTCCCCGTCCTTGTTGCCTGCCCTGCCCACCCCCATGCCTTTCCCCCTCCCGGCTGTTCCTGACTACAGGTGAGCCGCTCCGTAGACTCCCAAGCCTCATTCACTGATCGCTTTAAAAATAATAATTATGAAGTCCATAAATCGTAAATATCATGGGTATGTGTGTATACATATACATATGTAAGAAAGTATGTACAGAGTATAAAGAAAGAAATTCTATCTCTGGGACACCACCCAGAGATCACCAGTTAAATCTTCGTTTTCCTCTCTGTAAAGGTGTGTGTTTGTGTGCATATACCACACAATGTAGGTACACTGACCGAACTGGACCGCTTACCAGGCCAGTCAATAGAGGTCTGCATTTTAATGATTGTATAGCGTCCAGCTGTATGGCTGTGCCATTATCAGTCCCGTCATTGAACCCAGCTAGGGTCCTCCTACTCTTTGCTTTTGCCTCTAAACCTTCCTTGTTGTATTTGTAAACCACTGGCGTTTGTTCCTACCGTTCAGCTCCTCCACATACCTCTTCCAGCTGATGGCCGTGGTCGTCCACCACGGGGACATGCACTCTGGACACTTCGTGACCTACCGGCGCTCCCCGCCCTCGGCCAAGAACCCCGTCTCCGCCAGCAGCCAGTGGCTGTGGGTCTCCGACGACACCGTCCGCAAGGCCAGCCTGCAGGAGGTGCTGTCCTCCAGCGCCTACCTCCTGTTCTACGAGCGCGTCCTCTCCAAGATGCAGCCGCAGGGTCGGGAGTACAAGTCTGAGGAGTGACCCGCCCCGCGCCAGGGCTGCAGACCCAGCACTGCCCCAGCCCCGCGTGTCTGTCCCTGTGCGTGGCGTGTGCGCGCCGGCAGCCCCGCTAGTCCTGCGGCCTCCTGCTGTGGCGAGAGAACAGGCTCCACAGAGGAGCTGGCGGCCCCGGCTCACACCAGAGGAGGCCCCCACTCCCTCCCCGCACAGCTCGCCCGTGGGCACCAGGGTGGCAGCACTGGGCGCCGTGTGTGTCTAGACCATGTCTTGTCACTCACCCGATACAGGTAATTAAAGGAAACCAGACTCCAGAAGCCACCTTTTTAAAATATATTCTGATGCTTCAGGTGTTCTCAAAGGGGAGTTAACTCTGTCTGACCCTCCAGGGCTTCAGCATAGATCTTTTATTTTTAATAAGCAAGTAAGGCCCACGAAAATGGATGAATTAGTGAAATCATTAAAGGCAACAATTTCAAAGAAAAAAAAAGTGCCTTTCACTCTCAACTGCTTTTGTAGCACATCCCTTCTAGAAAACAGACCTCATCTGGGAGTCACATGAACAATTTTTTGCAAAGCTCTGATCCTTCCAGAGTGACCGAATGGAGAGCAAAGGGACAATTCAGAAGACACGTGGCGCACACCCGCCTTCCCCTTTTGTATGTCTTTTCTGACCTCTCAGAGTCTTTGTATGTAGTGGAAGCTCACCTGCCAAACCTGCCTCTCAGGGGCATTCTTCCTCTACTTCATCAGTGATAAGTGACCAGCTTCCTCACTGCTGTCGTCCTGCACGCCCTGGACTCTGAGGGGCGTGGCCACCGCTTGTCATGTAACCGCCGGACAGCCAGGACCTGGCAGCCTCTGCGCTGCACCCACGACCACCCTGCTCCGTAGAAAGCCCTTTCTCATGCCAGGACCCACTGTGGACCACTACTCACACCTATTTATTTATTGCCCACGTGGAGCTCCTGAGGTTTACAGGTGGAGCTGGGGGCCATGACAGACAGACAGACAGACAATCCCAGCCTCTGCGCGAGAGCTGGATTCAGAAGGAAGGGCATGGACCTCACTCAGGGCCGCCACCTCTCCACGCCTCGGTTTCCTCATCTGTAAAGTGCAGAGTTTGATTCCACGGCATTCAAAGTCCAGCCTGTCCCACAGAAAAGGAAGAAAGAAGTTTAAGAAAACTTTTGAAACATACAACGGCGGCTGACACCTGGTCCCATTATCCTGTCTTAGATCCATATTCTACACGTGTTGGTTTCCAGTACCTCATACAGAAGGCCCCATCTGATCATCCTCCCCCGTCCTCAGGTAAGTCTCATGAAGGCAGCCCAGGGCCAAAGGAATTTCGAGGACACAGAGGTATCTATGTTTTCGCTAGATTTTTTTATTTAAAAAAGAAAGGATACCAAATCCAGACTGACTCCTCAGAGGTAAGATTTGGAATCAGGTGCATCCAGGTCACCTGAGGTTAGGCTGAGGACCGTGTTTCCCCAGGTGGGCGGGCTGGCGACACCCCCAGACAAGACCTTGGTGTCAAGTGAACCTATCGGAGGCCCGGGCGGTCCCCAGGCCAGGTGTGTGTGCGTCCTGAGGACTGGGAAGTCTTGCTATGGACAGAAACAGACTGTGAAGTTTCTCCAGACCGTGAGCATCAGGAAGAAAGGAACAGCGTGAAGCTTCTGCTCTGCTCTTGGCAGATGTCCCTTCCCAACTTCGTCGCAGACCCGGCTCTGATGGTGAAAGGGGTATCACCATGGTACCCGAGTCTGGGGCAACATGTGCCCAGGTCGCGTGGCCTTCACCTGCCTGCCCAAGCTGTAGCTTTGTGCACCTGCCCTTCTGCCCTTCTGCCGCCGCATACTCTGAAATCTGCCATCAAAGAGAGGTGCCAGGTGTGAACAGTGCCTCCTTAAACGTTTGGTTGTAAGTAGACCTTTGGTCAGAGGCCAGGGACTGAGCCATGGCTACGGCTATAAATGTGAATGATCTCCAGGCACATTCTCTATCCCTGACTTAAGGGCAGCTTCCTCACATTGTAAATTATTAGGCATTAGTTAGTGGCCAAATAATCTTATTTCTAGCATTCAGTTATTTACAGTCACTTCTTTTTTTGCAGAGACCCGAGTCAAACTCATAGTTTATGCCATAAAAACTGCTGATTTATGTACTTGCTAAAGGTACCTTTTGTATCTGCTGTATTATAGCAATAAAGGAATCATTTTGTTAGGAAAAAAACATCAGCTGGTATTCTTTCACAATTCACCAGTCTGATACAAATGTCCTCTTTCTCTTGAGTTCTGCGTTGTACCCGTAAGAAGCTCTGCGCTTGGGTGAAACCTGTTCTCTGTTCCCTGTCGGTAAAAGAAAAAGCTCCCTCTAGGGGTGGAGAGCGAAGGAGCCGACAGAAGCACTCACCATTAACAATGTTCTTCACTTTGTAGTAGGCAGGATTTTCCGAAATGTCAGATTGACCCGGGGAGCCAGAACCTTCTTTCGGACTGGGAGACTGTGGTACCAGTGAGTGTTGGTCGGGTGGTTCATCATGAGTAGGCTGCCGTGGGCCAGCTGGAGCCTGACCACTGCCAGCCTCCGGGACGGGTGCTTCCCCCGGGAATCCTTATGCCGGAAGAAGAAATCTCTGCAGGCCCCAAAGGAGACAGAGGCGATGGGGCTCCCGGGAGCCAGTTCTCTCTCGTCATCCCTGTGCTCACCAATGTGGTCCTGGCCGTCTTTGTACCTGCAGTGAGAAAACGAGCAGAGTTCATGGAACAGTCCTCTCTGGAAACACGCCACCCACACCCAGAGTCCCCGTGCGCCAGCCAGGAAATGGTGCCGCAGACCCAGGCTCTTGCAGGGGCTGAAGGGCTGAAGCAAGCCTTTCACCTTGTTCTCAGCCCTCTTTGAACAGCCCACCGATAGGGCATTCCCTGGTGGTCCAGTGGTTAGGATTCCACACTTGCACTGCACGGCCCAGGTTTGGTCCCTGGTTGGGGAACTAAGATCCCATAAGTCACATGGCCAAAAACAAACAAAAACCACACACACATGGATAGAGGCCAAACACGCGTCTTACAGTCCCCCTGATTTATATTTGTAAATCTTCATCACGTAAGATGCCTTCTCTCTATAACTTAGAATAAAATCTGCATTCCTCGCCTGGCCCCTGCCCACCTCTGAGTTGAGCTCACCCCACACCCCTCTTTCCCTCATACACTGTTTTCGGGCACCACCAGTGGGATTTCCACTCCACAGACACTCCAAACTCCCTCTGCTCTCCCTGCAGAGGCCTGTGGGGCTCATGTTCCCTTGATTCAGTTATCAGCTCAAAGGTCACCCCTCCATGACCCCTCCTCTAACCATCTTCCCCTAAACCCCAAGTTCTCAACCAGGGCAATTCTGCCCACCCCAGGGGCACTCAAGTGATGTCTGGAGACATTCCTTTGCTCCAAAGGGACCCTTGAAAAAAATGTACAACCTAAAAGTTGAAAACTGTGTTTCATTCTGCAGACAGAACTGAAGACTTAAGTCCTGGAGGCGGTCTCTCAGCTCTGAGGGACTGCCCCAAAGAGATAAGGCAGGAGCCAGGATACAGAGGGGTTTTGCAACAAAAACCAGGTAGTCGGAACATCAAAAAATTATTGTTAATTAAAGAAAACCAGTTCAGTATTTTCTATGTATGGGAAGATGCAAGAATCTGGGCTCATTGAAATCATCCCTTTGACATGCACCTCAGCAATCTGGGGCCAGTATCCTGTTCTTTCCCAGCCCGAATGGTGCACCGTCGGAGGCGGCTGTAGTGGCCGCGGGCCTGCCAACAGGTGTGTCTCCATCCCATGTTCCCTCAGGGCTCACTGCTGGGGGCGGCTGCAGCGGCCCTGCATCCTCTGTGTGCTGATACCGCCGCAACCATTTCTCATCCACAGGGAGCTCCCGGCATCCGGTTGGTGGAGGTCAGGGATGCTGCCCAACATCTAACACCGCAGAGGTCAGCCCCAGGAAGAGGATTATCTGACTCAAAGCATCGAGTGCTGTTGAGAAACCCAGACTCCTTCCTCCCAGATGTTCTTAGATCAGCCTGTTTAATTTTCTACAAGACATTTATCAATGACTGAAGGTATCCTGTTCACATGTTCATCAGTTCTCGGCCTCTCCCTCCCCCGCAAGGTGCACGCATGTGTGCTCAGTCACATCTGACTCTGTAATCCCACAGTCCATGATGTCATGGACCCCATGACCTCCTCAGTCCACGGGATTCTCCAGGTAAGAATACTGGAGTGGGTTGCTATGCTCTCCTGCAGGGGATCGTCCCAGCCCAGGGATCGAACCCACATCTCCTGCATTGGCAGGTGGCTTCTTTACCACCGAGCCACCCGGAAGCTCCCCCCGCCCCTGGGGTTGAGCGCACCATGAAGATGAAATGCTTGTGCTGTTCACTACTAGGTCCCCCACCTACACTAAAGAATTATTTGTTGTATAAATGAGTAAAATACAGTGGAATCCTAAATTCTTCCTTTTGGAAGAGACAGAAAATTTATAAAATCCAGTCCATGCTCCTGGGGGGAGGGGGGGGGTAGGTAAAGACAGAGTGTCACCTGTTGATGAGCACAAAGTTGAAGGTCTGTCCAGTCACCAGAGAAACGCGATCCCGGACACGCTCCAGAACGGGGATCCAGGGCTTCGGAGACAGAGTGAGGCCTGAAAAGGTGTAGGTCAGCCCGGTGTCGCCGTACGTTGCCTGCTTCCTTGGGACACTGTGCCACTTCCCAAACACCTGGACCCTGGCCAGCGCACCTGTGCAGGGGGAACAGGGCAGGGCCTGAGAAGTCTACACTGGCTCCCCGAGCATTCAGGAACGAAAGTACAACAGGAATAACATCTACCACTGTGGCCGAGGACCTCCTCAAAAATGACTGTGGCTCACCCAAAGCCTTCCCATGAGGGCAGTGATTCTTGTCCAACACAGAGAGACAGCCCTAGTCCAATTTAAAAACAAAAACAAAACACTGGAACTTCATTGCTCAGCAGAACCAGAAAAACGAGACTGCAATTGGAGCAATATGAAGTTTGTTTACATGCTAGCACAGTGATGTTACCAACTGTGGGGATGAAAGGGTGTGTGCATCCAGGGAAGATGGCAGTAACGCAGCTCTCGAAGGAGGCTGGGTCTCCCACGGGCGTTTCTACACTGCCCCGTGCTCTTCCGCCCTGCAGTGGTTCTCACTGTGGGTTCTGGCATCAGCAGCACTGGAAACTCTGGACAGGAGACTGCAGGGGGCAGGGCCAGCAATGGAGTGCTCACAAGCAACAGAGTCCTCCAGGTGACGCTGAGAACTGGTGGACAGGAACTACCTGGTAATTTCCTAGCTCTCAGCAGACAAGCGATTCCTGTTATTAAGTTGGTATCTCAAGAGCCCAGTAAGGTGCTTGGCCCAGAGGTGCCAGGAGTATGTATTAATTAACAAACTCACCCATTATTCAGTTCAGTTCAATCGCTCAGTTGTGTCCAACTCTTTGTGACCCCATGGACTGCAGCATGCCAGGCTTCCCTGTCTATCACCAACTACTGGAATTTACTCAAACTCATGTCCATCGCGTCGGTGATGCCATTCAACCATCTCATCCTCTGTCATCACCTTCTCCTCCTGCCTTCAATCTTTTACAGCATCAGGGTCTTTTCAAATGAGTCAGTTCTTTGCATCAGAGGCCAAAGTACTGGAGTATCACCTTCAGCATCAGTCATTCCTATGAATATTCAGAACTGATTTCCTTGAGGATGGATTGGTTGAATCTCCCTGCAGTCCAAGGGACTCTCAAGAGTCTTCTCCAACACCACAGTTCAAAAGCACCAATTCTTCGGCGCTCAGCTTTCTTTATAGTTCAACTCTCACATCCATACATGACTACAGGAAGAACCATAGCTTTGACTAGACAGATCTTTGTTGGCAAAGTAATGTCTGTGCTTTTTAACATGCTGTCTAGGTTGGTCATAACTTTTTTCCAAGGAGCAAGCGTCTTTTATTTCATGGCTGCCGTCACCATCTGCAGTGATTTTGGAGCCCCCAAAATTAAAGTTTCTCACTGTTTCTATTGTTTCCCCATCTATTTGCTATGAAGTGATGGGACCGGATGCTATGATCTTAGTTTTCTGAATGCTGAGTTTTAAGTCAACTTTTTCATTCTCCTCTTTAACTTTCATCAGGAGGCTCTTTAGTTCTTTGCTTTCTGCCATAAGGCTGGTGTCATCTGCGTATCTGAGGTTATTGATATTTCTCCCAGCAATCTTGATTCCAGCTTGTGCTGGAATCTGTTATTAATGGCTCTTAAGTTCAGATTCCTCTAAACACAGACCAGTAGTGTGTTCAAACCAGCCTTCCACACACAACCCCCCATCCCCTGCTTACCTGTAAAATATTCCACTTCTTTCTCCAACTCCTGGAAAATCTCGTCTGCTTCAGCTTTGCCAAACAGGACTATGTAATCGCAGTCCAGGCCCTCGGCTCGAATGTGCCGCCAGCTGAGGCCTGCCAAGTCAACTCCATTCCCCGGGGCTGCTCTCCTGGGCTTTTTCTTGCTGTTTCCTTCCTCTTCTGCCAACCCTGCTGGACCTCCTCCAGTCTGCTCTTGTTCCATCCTTCTCTTAAGGCCCCCGACAGCCCCCTTCACCAGGAATCTGTCCATCTTGTCTCCACAACACGAAGACCTGGGGGCTGGTGGCCAGGCCAAGAGAGATTACCCAGGGTCTGTCCCAAACGCCAAAATCTACTCTGCAAAGTGGTTCCACAAGGGCATTCCTCCTGTTTTTAAGGTTCCATTTTAAAAGTTCAACACCAAGTCCTATAAAGGAAGTAAGAGGAGGTTAAGGCTGGAAGGATCCCTCAGAGGTGATCTGGTCAGGATCTCCCACACCCGGGTTGGTATCACAATCAGCTGCCTAGCTTGCAAAACCCACCTGCCTGCCACCCAGCCCCCCAACATAGGAACTTTTAAGAAACAACTCCCCCCTCCCCGCCCCCGGGGAATTCGAATGCCACTGGCAAACTTGGAAACTACTATCCAAACCCTCACTTTATACCTGGGAAAGTGACACGGTGAGAGGAGGAGGGGTTTGCCCAAATTCACCCATAAGAGTATGTCTGTCTCCCCCTGCCACCCTGCAAAGGACGGGGTGGATAACTGACGGGCCCTCCCACACAAGTATTAACAGATTAAGTACTGCGATCTTTAAATGGACATGATTCAGAATCTAAATGTTTAACAACGGTTAAACGTGGTCATAAGCAAGCACGCCGAATTCTGATAGAAAATAAGAACTGTAATACGTGCGTGGAGTGGTGGTGCCGAGGGTTCTCTTTAAAATCTCAGCACCCGCTAAACTCCAATTCCTGTAGACACGCCACAAAGGGCTGTCGCGGGGAAGAGAAAACATTTACCCGCCCCGACCACAGAACTGCTTCCGGGTAGATTGCAGCGGCGATCTGGAGAAAATCTAAGCAAATTTGCAAAACAAAGCCGTGGGCGGTCTTCGGGCGCCACCTGTTGGCCCTCCAGGCGCGTTGCAAGCACCACGGTGGTGCAGGGTCGTTACTTGTTACGCAGCTGTGCGGGATCACCAGTGGTTTGGGAGCTGTTGGTTGACGTCATCTCTCCCTAGGGATTAATTTGATGTCTCGACAGGAAGCTGGGCCACCAGCATATTGTCGTAGGTAGGAGCACGAATTCTGCAATCAGACCCTTGTAACTTCCACTTCTGTCTCCTCCACTGAAGCTGTTGTGGTTCCTACAAATCCCTTAACATTTCTGGGCTCTGCACAGTGGGAACTACAAAACCCATGCCATGAGGATTAAATAATGAGAGGATGTGTGAGACGATGCTTCTGTTCTCCAAACAAACGTCAGCTTTCATCATCACTGGTTTTTTGATTATTTTCTCTCTACAGTTCCTTCACCCACTTGCCACTTGAGGGGCATTTGGGTTGTTTCCAGTTTGGGGAAAATCTTGATATGGTCACTATATCTATTCATGTACAAGCTCTCCTGTGAATATAGATTCTAATTTCACTCAGGTAAATAGTTAGGAATGGGATGGCAGGGGCACATGGTAAATATATGTGTTAAATAGGCTTCCCAGGTGGCGCTAGTGGTAAAGAACCCGCCTGCCCGCGCAGGAGACATAAAAAACACAGGTTCGATTCCTGGGTGGGGAAGATCCCCTGGAGAAGGAGATGGCAACCCACTGCAGTATTCTTGGCTGGGAAATCCTAAGGACAGACGAGTGGATGTGTTACTTTATACAAAACTGCCAAGCTGTTTTTCAAAGTGGCTTTTATGTTATTATTTTTAAAAATAATTGAAACGGCTGGAGACAGAAATAAGCAAGGAGAGAATAAGATCATTTTGGGGGCGGGGGGCGTGCACCATGTGGAATCCTATTTCCCTGATGAGGGATCGAACCTGTACCCCCTGCACTGGAAGCACAGAGGCCTAACCACTGGACCGCCAGGAAAGTCCCTAAATAAGATCATTTTGGATGAAGCTATAACTAGTGTCCGGCTAGAAAGTGGGGCAGGGAAGGCTCTTCAGAGGACGGGTGTCGAGTAGAGACTTAAAAGTTGTCCAGGCAGGGGGACAGCGCCCGCAAGGTGTAAAGACCACAGGAGGGACAAACTGGGGATGTTCCGTGACTGTTTTATTATTATTATTATTAAAATAAAAAATTGAAATATAGTTTATTTGAATGCTAATTTCACTCCCATAGCAACCCTATTGGGCGGGACTTTTAAGTTCTTTTTACTGGCTGAAAGATGGCGGGACTTGCCCTAGGGAGAGGGACGATGGCTGACAATAATGAATAAAAGGGTCAAATAAAGAGCTGAGCGAACCAACCTAAGGAACTCCGCCCTTTCCAAACAGTTCGAAGCCCCACTAGGCCCCAGGGCTCTCGCTCCGGAGCCCCTCCCACACATGCGCGCTGGGGCCTCCGCCGCCCCCCGCCCAGAATCCCAATCGGAGCATGCGCGGGCCGCTTGGCGCCAACTGTTGACCACCTCGGCTGGCGCCAAACTCGCGGACCCCGGGCGGTGTGCGTTGGCTACTACCTCGGCTTCGGGATGATCGGCCAGAAGACGCTCTACTCCTTCTTCTCCCCGAACCCCGCCAGGAAGCGAAGTGCCTGCAGTCCCGAGCCGGCCGACCCGGGGACCGGCGTGGCGGCCGTAGCTCAGAGCGGGGATGTGGCGGTGAGGAGCGGTTGGGGGCGGGGGGGGCCTCTCGTGGGGCCAGGGGTCAGGGAGGCCGAAAAGGGTGAGGGGGGTGAGGAGGGCGAGGAGGGCGGCGGACCACGCGAGAGGGACCCAGACCGAGGGGATTGCGGGAATGTGCAGCTGACTGGGTGAACGCGGGCCGCCTCCACGTGTTCAAAACAGCCGCCTTAGCGACCCATCGGCGGCCATCCTGAGGGGCCAGCCAATGCGGGCGAGCCTCGGGGCCCACGCCGCCAATCAGAGGCGAGGGGGCTGGCCAGCCTGCCAATCAGGGGAGGGAAGGGGTGGGCCCCGGAGGGGAAGGTTTTGCCGCGAAAAGACCGCGTGGGGACGCCAGTGGCCAGGCCCGAGGGGGCGGGGCGGTGCGTCCAGAGCCCCATTCCCAGCCAACCCCTCGCGAGGCGTCGCGAGTCTTCCTCACAGACCCTTCTGCTCCCGCGTTGTTTCGGTACCAAACTCGAGACTGGGGGCCGCGGCCTTCTAGTGCCTGACCGGGATCAGTCCTGGGTCCCCGGGGCTAAAAATCCCCACGAATGGGGGTCCTCTGCCCCGGGCCGTTGGGTTGGGGGCGGAAGCTGCGGGTGCCCGGGAGGGGCCCGCGGCAGCTGGTGAGCCGCCTCTGCGGGGACCACCTACAGGCCAGCCCCGCCAAGAAGCCCCGGGCCGGGCCGGAGGAGCCAGGCACGCCGCCCTCGTCGCCGCTGAGCCCGGAGCAGTTGATCCGCATCCAGAGGAACAAGGCGGCCGCGCTGCTCAGACTCGCGGCGCGTAACGTGCCGGTGGGTTTTGGTGAGAGTTGGAAGAACCACCTCAGCGGGGAGTTCGGGAAGCCGTACTTCATAAAGGTAAACTTGGAGGCTGTGGGCGTCTTGTGCATAGAGCGGGCCAAGCCCACGGTTAGACGAGATGGCTTCCGTGCCTCCTGCTTTCCCTCCTTCAACCTTCTTTTCATGCTCAGGGGGTAAAATACAGTCAAGGTGTTTTCAATCTGCAGTTTAAGGTTTTTAAAAGGCTGTGAGATGATATCATGAAGCTTCTTTTAAAAGTTTTTTAAAATAATTTTTAAAAAATTAAAAATTTTTTTATTGTCGCTATTTTTATATTTAAAATTTTATTTTTATTTATTCTTGACTGCGTTGGGTTTTATTTTTTTTTAAATTGGAGTGTGGTTGCTCTACAATGTTGTGATAACTATCACAGCTTCTACTAACCGGTTTAGTTACTTAGTCTGCTCTCAAGGAAAGAGTGGCGAAGTAAAACCACAAACTCCACAGACTAAAATCTGGGTTTAAAAAAAAAAGAGGGAGCGGTTTGCACCCGCGGGAAATCAGGGCCCAGAGCCAATCAACTTGGACCCAGCCCACAGGAAGCCCGAGGGAATTGAAAGGTCGGTGGGGTGCGGGGACTGTTTCAGATTTTCCCAGCAGAATTTGGGTATAGGACTTGGAAAAGATTTAGGTAATAGCTCTTTCCAGTTGAAACTTTGTGATTGAATTCTTATGCTTTCCTGTGAGAATTTGGTTTGTAAACCTAGTTTATCTTTCCATCAGCTTATGGGATTTGTTGCAGAAGAAAGAAAACATTACACTGTTTACCCTCCCCCTCACCAAGTCTTCACATGGACCCAAATGTGTGACATAAGAGATGTAAGTACAAGTTGTGGCTGAATTTTACTAAAATTACTAAAACGGGAGTAGGATTCAAATGGCATTTCTTAATTAGGGGCAGTGGAGTTAAACCACTATTCAAAATTTAGAAATAACACTAAAATTGTGGGGTTTGGCAGGCTATCTTTTACTGTGTGCCATTTATGCAACAAAAAAAGAGAAGTTTGTGCATAGATTATGTGCTATGACTTCTGTTTTTTTTTTTTATTTTTATTTTTTTAGTTTTAATTCTGAAACTGACCCCATGCCCATGTGAGGTATTACTGTGGTGGTGGGAGAACTGAGGCAGGAAGCAGTTAAGTGTCTTTCAGCTGGTTTCCGGCAACTCCACCTTGACTGGTAGTTCAGTCTTGACTGGTAGTTCTTTCTGTCTGACCACACTGCCTTGTAGCCGACTTCTGGCCTGAACACTCCTGTTGAAGACATCTCTTTGCTTTAGTTCATTGTGTACAATGCCTGCTCATTGGGAGCTCTGGTCACCTCAGACTCCTGTTCAGAAGCTTGATTGTGCCTTTACATAGTTCATAGCAAGTTCACAGCTGAGCGTGAATACAGACACATCCTGCTTTCCAGCCTCACCTCCACCTCCTATTCTCCTGGTTTGGAGCTGGACCGGGTAGTGACTCTCTCCTCACTTTTGTCTTTTGAAAACCAATTAGATCCGTCTCTGGCACCTCCTGGAAGCAAGCCTGTCCCCCCTTTGTGATGTGGATTTCCTCTAAACCTTCAGTATCTGCTTGCACTGGAGGTGTTCTGTTTTTTGTTCTCTTTTTTCCTTACTGATTTTATAAGCTGAGGGTGAGAATCCCACGACTTAATAAGTGTCTTAAGTCAAAGAGAAGCGAAATTGTTGAGGAAGCCATTGTGATAAGATTGCCACTCCTGTGCTCGCTTCGGCAGCACATATACTAAAATTGGAACGACACAGAGAAGATTAGCATGGCCCCTGTGCAAGGATGACACGCAGATTCGTGAAGCGTTCCATATTTTTATGTTTCAAGAGAACAGCGTCAAAACATGTATATTATCTAGGGTGAAACAGGTCACCAGCCCAGGTTGGATGCATGAGACAAGTGCTCGGGCCTGGTGCACTGGGAAGACCCAGAGGGATCGGGTGGAGAGGGAGGTGGGAGGGTGGATCGAGATAGGGAATACATGTATATCCATGGCTGATTCATGTCAATGTATGACAAAAACCACTACAATATTGTGAAGTAATTAGCCTCCAACTAATTAAAAAAAAAAAAGATTGCCACTCCTAGAGCTTAGCAAACTTCTTAATTTTCATTTTCAAGCAAGTACTTATCTTCTTGTTTATAGAGTTTAAAAAAAAACTTAAGTCCTATTAAATTCAGTATTGGATTGCCCCTTGTTCGAAGTATGTGCTGTTTTGACTATCAGTGAGCAATACAGTAAAGAAAGTATAAGAAAAGAGCATGAAACTTATGAGGATCAGATGGCCCCGGGGGGCTTCTTTGCCCTTGAGCCTATGGAGGGCTGGGATGTTAACCTGGCTCCGCCAAGGCCCTTATCTAGGACAGGAATGGGAAAACTTTGCTGCTGAATGGTTTGCTTCACAGATATGCTGGGGCCCATGTGGGTACCAACCAGGGGGACAGAGAGGTCCATGAAAGCGGACAGGTCCAGTCTGGATTCTGAAGGATAAACTGTACTTCAGCTATCAAAGAAGATTTTAAGAAGGGACATGGCAGAAGTGTGGGTATGAAGAGAGGTGGGTGGGCACCCATCAAAAGGCCTAGTAGTGTGTAACACCGACCTTGACAATGACCTCAGTCTCCTCTGGGTCCATCCCTTAAGAGGACACAGGCAGACCTCATTTTATTGCACTTCACAGATAACTGCGGTTTTTACAAATTGAAGTTTTGTGGCAAGCTTTTACTGTCAAATGATGGTTAGCATTTTTTTAGCCATAAAGTCCTTTTTAATAAGATCTGTGCTTTTTTTTTTTACCGCATGCAGTTGGACAGTTCGGGAACCAGAACATTTACATGACCTGTTTTATTGCCATATTCGCTTAATGAGAAGCTCTGGAATCAAACCCACAGTATCTCCTTGGTGTACCTGTCCAGGGTAACAGGCACCTTCATAATGCAGCTGGTTGGGGATGGGAATTTCTTTTAATTTGTCGAAAAGCTGTCTGGCATATGTCTGAAAATTTTAAATACACTTAGCCTCTGACCAGCAACTCCACTCTTCTGAATCTATTCCATAAAAATAAAAGCAACAATGGGACTTCCCTGGTATCCAGTGGTTAGGACTTCTCACTTCCAATACAGGGGGCACAGGTTCCATCCCTGGTTAGGGAGCTGTTAATGAGATCCTGCATGCCACAGAGCATGGCCAAAAATTTTTTTAAAAAAGCAACAGTATGTAAAGATACATATAGTAGGATGTTTACCTCATTGTTTTTTGTAAGGGAAAAATTTGGGAAACCACTGACTGCCCGTTAATGATTGAGTTCTATTGACTTAAAGGAGGCTTATGACGTATGACATGAGAAACACAAAAGCTGTAGAGTGATGAGTCCAGTGACCTTCATATATAGGTGATTATAAACAGTTGGATCAAGATGGGATAGAAGTGACCGCTTGGTATGTTTCTGGACGGTCATACTGTGACAAGGGCGTAACTCCTTTTATAATTTGAAAAACGAAGGGGATAAAAGCAAAGTTGATCCCCAATTGTTTCAAACATCGGGGTCGGAGAAGGGAGGGGGGCGTTGCAGCAGGTGACTGAGGGCAGGATAACTTGGTAATGCAAAGTCACGGTGCCAAGTCACACCTCCTCCCTGCCAGGGGCCCTGGGTGGGATGGGGCGGGGGCTGCCCTCGCCCTCACAGTGTCCCGGTGTGTGAGTTGGCAGCCAGGTGTCCCCTCGCACTGCCGGTGCGACACTGATCCTCGCCATCTGGTGTTCACAGGTGAAGGTCGTCATCTTGGGGCAGGACCCATATCACGGACCCAATCAAGCTCATGGGCTGTGCTTCAGTGTTCAGAGACCCGTGCCGCCCCCGCCNTCACAGTGTCCCGGTGTGTGAGTTGGCAGCCAGGTGTCCCCTCGCACTGCCGGTGCGACACTGATCCTCGCCATCTGGTGTTCACAGGTGAAGGTCGTCATCTTGGGGCAGGACCCATATCACGGACCCAATCAAGCTCATGGGCTGTGCTTCAGTGTTCAGAGACCCGTGCCGCCCCCGCCCAGGTAGGCAGGCTGTGAGGGTGGCTCCAGTCGTGTGACTGCTTTTAGATGCGTGCTTTGCAGGTTACAGGTGCGCCTGTCTGTGGGACCTCCCCTCGCCTTTGGAGCAGGATTTCTCTGCTGGCCTTTGGGGCTGGGTCTTTGTTGTGGTGGGCGCTGGGGCTACCCTGTACGATATTCAGCAGCACCCCTGGCCTGCAGTACTGCCCCTATTTGTGATGATAAAAAATGTCTTCAGATGTTTCCAGAAGTGCCCCGGAGGGCAAATCACCTCTGGTCAAGAACCCCTACTTTGGAGGATTTCACATATCATTTGTAAATATAATAAACTTATTAAAGATATAAACTTTAAACCCATTGGTTGAGGGTGGTGGTAAATCTTGGGCTAATTTGCCGGGTTTTCCAAAGTTCTCATCCCTAAGCAGTGACTGAAGTGTAAAGGCGTTCAGCAGGTGTGCCTACTAGAAAGAAGGAAGGGCAGCCCCGAGGGCGGGCTTTGCAGGTCATAATTTGCGTGTGTGCTGGTGGGTCCTAAACTGTCAGAATGGTACTTAAGATTCTGGGGTTTTTGTTTTCCTTCTGGCTTGCTTTCAGTTTGGAAAACATTTATAAAGAGCTGTCTACAGACATAGATGGTTTTGTTCACCCTGGTCATGGAGATTTATCCGGATGGGCCAAACAAGGTAAGCTAACCAATGCTTGATGTGTTTTGGGTGGATTTCAAGAGTCTTCTCTTTTCTGTCTGGCCGGCTTATATTTTTATTTTTTTTAAAATTTATTTATTTTTTTCAATATTAAGGTTTATTTTCTTTTTCCTCCAGAGTGAGGTTAAGTAACAACTTAAATAATTTTCAGGATGTATAAATGAGCATCCATTCGGAAAGAACATTACTGCTTAAAAGTGACTATCTAAGAAATATTTTGCATGTAATAAATATATTCTATGTTTAGGTTAACAGGCACCATCTCGAGAGCAAAAAAGTTTTTTTAACCAATAAATAAATTACATTCAAGAAAACAAAGTGTTTCTCTCTGAAGTATGATATATCCTTAAATGTTTTTCTTCATATAGCACCCAAACTTTCAAACTGTCTAGAAATAGCTTCTAAATATAACGCATACCTAAAGTCGTAAAAATAAAAGGCAAAAAAAAATCAATATAGGACAAAACTTAGTTTATATTAATTCCCCATTCAATAAAATATCAATTGCCAATTTATTAAGTGAACTGTAAATATGCAATGTTAGTGCTCAAATCTGAAATATATATTTTTAAAAGTCACTCTTTCTCAAAGTATTTAAAATATTGCATCTCTGGCGGCAAACCTGAAAACTATCATTTTATTTCTCTGGTTTTCATACTTCCACTCCCAAACTTCCACTCCCAACCCTATCCTTTAATTCTTTAACAGCCAGCCAGTTTGTTTCCTTTTTTTTTTTTTTCTTTTTGGAGTAAATACAATATATCCCAAACACAAACACTGACAATACTCCTTGGTAAACAAGGAAGTCCCAAAACAGTCCAAGCCTATAGCTTCACTCCCAAAGTGTGGCACAGGCTAAATGATAAGGAAAAAAAACAATCAATGGCCCTTATTGATGCAATCAGAATGCTCTTGAGAGTCCACAACTGTTTTGAGAATTTGCTGATGTAATCCTGAAGAAAGTTTCAACACATTTTGCAGACAAATATCAGAGAATAAGTCTTTGATTAATAATTTTTCTATTTATTTCTGCCAAGGCAACTGAAAACACGAAAGCCTTTTCATCAGAGAGGTTAGCATAGATGTCAATTTCCTTTTCCTGTTTCTCTCTTTCTTCCTCATGTTTTTTGGCAGATGCACTTTTAGGTCTTCCTCTTCCTCGTCTGATATGATCTGAATGGCTGTTACTTCGAGACCTCTTTCTGTTCTCTAAATCGTTATTTACTGTAGAATTTATCTTCTCTCGCCTAACTCTCTCTGTTCGCCTCCTCTTGGCCTCATGCTTGTTTTCTGTAGAAGATGTGATTTTTCTGGGTGTTTTTCATTTAAAAGTTTTCTGCTAATAAATAAGTAACCACAGGGACATGATTTACATGCAACAGGAACCTGTTGGTCGCACTCGGGGCATGATTTGGTGGCCATCTTCACTTTCTTAGCTCGAGTTGCAGCCATGCTTTTCTCAGGCGGCGGTGGCGGCGGTTCAGACTCCTTATATTTTTAAACCCATGTGGAACTAGAGAGCTCTAGTAAAGTGGCTAAGTTTAAGTCAAGAAATGTATCTCATCCTGCAGTCAGTGTTTATGTGTAACGTAAAAGAGAAAATTAGTTCCTTGGCATCCATACTTCACATTTATCCGCTTGGACCATTCAGAAGGCAGCCTCAGTTTTCTCATTTCGATACATGACTTGTGTGTGTTTAGTACCTATATACAGGACTTTTTCTTTCTTTCTGAACAAATAAACTATAACCAGGAAAAGGAAAGAATATTTACTGTTTGTTTTCTTGCAGTGAGAGTTTTGTTTCAGTGAAATGTCTTGGCTTTCTTGTGTTAAATTCTGAGGTTATTTCCTGTCACTTAGGAAATATATGCATATATTTTTTAAACAGTTCTTTCCCATGTTGGACAGAATGTATGATTGCACACTCGGAAGGTGTTGAAACTGTAGAGGTGAAAATAAATGTCTCCCAGAGGCACCTGCTGACCCTGTCCTGATGCTACCTGGTTCTGTCATGCACTGAGCTCATTATTGGGTTTCGGGGCTGACTCATTTCGGCCTCTTTTTTTTTTTTAATTTTATTGGTGTATGGTTGATTTTACAATGTTGTGTTAATCTCTGCTTTATAACAAAGTGATTCCATTATACAGATTCTTTTTCATATTGTTTTTCATTTTGGTTTGTCAAGATATTGATATAGAGTCCCCTGTGTACACAGGACCTTGTTGCTTGTCCATCATATATATAATAGTTTGATCTGCTAACCCCAGACTTCCAATTTATCCCTTCCCCTTGGCATCCGCAAGTCTGTTCTCTGTTATCTTTGAGTCCGTTTATGTTTCATGGACATGTTCATTTGTGCTGTATTTTAGACTCCACGTTTCAGCCTCCCTGGAAACCGCTTTTTCGCTGTGTGTTCGCAGGTGTTCTCCTGCTCAATGCTGTCCTCACGGTCCGGGCACATCAGGCCAATTCTCATAGAGAGAGAGGTTGGGAGCAGTTCACCGACGCCGTCGTGTCGTGGCTCAATCAGAACGCCCACGGCCTTGTCTTCTTGCTCTGGGGCTTTCACGCTCAGAAGAAGGGCAGTGCCATTGATAGGGTATGTTGTGTGGGGTTTTTATTTTTTTAATAGTTTAAACCAGGCTAGAGAATTCTAAGAATTCAGTTATGTAGTCCCAGAAAATCCATTTCTTAAAATGAAACTTATTTTTCCTTACAGCTATGATAGTATTAGGTTTCCCATTAAAAATTGAACAGAACTCAGGGACATTGCTGGCAGTCCAGTGGTTAAGACCTCTTGCTCCCAATGCAGGGAGTCTGGATTCCATCCCTGATTGGGGAACTAAGATCCCACATGTCACGTGGTGAGGCAAAAAAAAAAAAAAGCAAGAAGGAGAACTGAACAGACCTCAGATGAAATGATTAGTGGTGTAATGAGGAAAGCAGTTGGCCAGCTTCTGCTTAGATGCAGTTGATAACACTGGCGTAAACTTGCCATATACATGGAAAACTACAAAACTACACAGGTCCTTGGGTTCCATTCATGTAACAAACGATGCAGTAAATGATGAGTCAGGTAAGTCTCTTGGTTTCAACAAGTTTGAGGGTATATAGAAAACATGAAGAGTCCCACTTCAGTGCAAGTTTAACTTCCCCCATGAAAACATTGTCAGTGCTCTGGTTGCCAGTCCCTGACACCACTAATTCAGCTCTTCAGTCTCTGCCCTCCCCGCATCCTCCCCCAGTCTGTTCCTTCCTTCTCCACTTACTTACCAAAGCACCCATGCATACCCAGTTACTGTGATGAAAAACCAGAAGTCATCCTAAAAAGTTAAGATCCCACGCTTCCACTGCAGGGGGCTTGGGGTTCCAGCCCTAGTCGAATCCCCACATGCGCCTTGACCAAAAAAAGCCCACCAAGAAGTCATCCTCTAGTCCTTTCCCTCATGCCTTTAACCCAGTCCTAAAACCACCCTGATCCTGCCACCCCTCTGGGCTGAGCCCTGGCGTTTCTCTGGGATGCCTGTCACGGACTGCAGGTAAAGCTGGTTTGGCGGAGGCTGGAGACTGGTGGTTGTGGGGCTGGGACGGGGGGCGGCATGCAGGTGGGCAACAAGGAGGAGTGCTTAGCTTGGGCTGCTGGAGGCACTGAACTGGGCAGTGACGCTGGGTGAAGTCCCAGTGTAGACACGTCAGTAAGTGAAGCAAAGGGACAGACCAAGACGGCCTGGCAGTCGGCGGTGTGTCAGGCGTGCAGCACGCTGAGGCCCCGGCCCCGTTGAGCAAGCCGAGCACTTACGCAGTGACTCACCTGATCTTAGCAAAGGCTGTGTCCGGGGCAAGGCGTGGGGGGTACACGGACTCCCCTTTGCACCGGCTCAGGGAGGCGAGGTCGCTTGCCCACTTGTAGTGAGTGGAGCTTCTGACTCTGATCTGGGCATCCCGCTCACCTGGGTGGGCCTGCAGGCGAGGGTTCCAAGCCAGGTCGAGACTGGACTCTAAGGTCATTTATCCTCTCTATTTTCTCTGAAGTGGAGTTCCATCTTAATTTTTTTCTGTAAAGGCTTTTTGTGAATGAGCAGGATATTTTCAGGTATTTTTATTTTGGGGAGGGAATAGTAGGAATAAAACCCGGCATAAATGAACTGACGGCTCAGTAGGGTCTGCTTATCTAGGTAATGAAATTGTCACCAGCTGGGGTCTGGGGGTGGCCTCGGCCTGCCTCTCAGCCTCTGAACTCCAGGCCCCCTGAACCACCTGGGTTTCTTGTGGGCGTCCCACTCCCCTGCCTGCCTTTGTCCAGCATGTGGAGGTCTATGTGTGGCCCAGGCTGGCTGCTGACTTGTCCTTTGGCGTGCACACAGCTCGAGTGTTGAGGGACCTGCCCTGCTTCCCGGATCCTGTGCTGAGCACCTGGCCTGCACCCCTTCCTGATGCTCTGTGCACAAGACCCAGCTTTGTTCTTCATGGGATCTTCCCGGTTGTCACTGCTTTACTCCCAGGCCCAGGTGAGGAGCGGCCTAGGGATGGTCAGCGACTCCCTGGAGGGTGCCCCCACTGCCGAAGGGCAGGGCCAGCACCTGGATCCAGCCTGCCCGGCCTCCCCAGCAGCCCCTCCTGGACCAAGCTCCCTGAAAGCAGACGTGTCTTGAAAGACAGTTATTTGCTGGGTGTTGTGTTAGTTGCTTAGTCGTGCCTGACCCCACGCGACCCCATGAACTGTGGCCCGCCAGGCTTCTCTGTCCGTGGATTCTCCAGGCAAGAACACTGGAGTGGGTTGCCGTTGTACTGCCCTCCTCCAGGGGGTCTTCCCGAGCAGGGATCGACCTGGCATCTCCTCCACTGCTGGAGGATTCTTTACCATCTGAGACAGGAACGACTTGTTGGGTGATTTTTAAGTTAAATACAGGAAAGAATCAGGAAGAAAACAAAAATGGTCCAGGATCTTCCCACTCAGTTAACTACAGGTGGCATTTTAATAAGTTTTAAGTATTCTGTTTTTGTGGTGAGATGATTGAAACAGCAAAGCAAGGTACAGAATGGAAAGGAAATACCTTCCACTCCTTCCCCTAAAGGAACTACTATAATTAGTGTCTTGGGTCTTATCTGCTCCCCCCCCCTCCCCTGGAAGTTTTTTTTTTTAATGCATTTATCCCTTCCTATCTCTCTTTTTCCACTTGAGACAGATTTCAGAGGGCTCCTCCTGTCAGCATGTGTAGCTTGACCTTGTTCTTCTAGTAGCTGTGCAGTGTTGCATTGTCAGAACCTTTAGGAAAATGTGTGTGATCTTCTGCACACATAGCACTGGGTTTAGAGCAGGCTTCACCAGCTAGGAGCCACGCAGCTGTGTTCCTCCTCATCCCTGCATCTTTGTGGAGATGCATGCACCACTGAGTCCCTTACCAGAGGCAGTCTCAGCAGTGGGACTGCTGGGACATCCCACACAGAGTGCCCAGCAGAAGGTGGAGAGGGAGGGGTCTTCTGCTTTCTCGGAGCCTCCTCCCACGGTAGTGGCTGTACCAGCCATTGGAGGATGAATGCACGCACAGACCTGTGCAGACGCTGCAGATTTAGAGCTGGCACAGCGGAGCGGAAGAGCTGATGGGAAGGGCAAATGCCAAGCGGTTTGGCTAAAAATCCCAAATGTGCCCCCACGGTCTCACTGCCCGTCGTCTCCTCTTTCAGAAGCGGCACCACGTACTGCAGACCGCACACCCCTCGCCGTTGTCGGTGTACAGAGGCTTCTTCGGATGCAGGCATTTCTCTAAAACTAATGAGCTGCTGCAAAAGTCCGGCAAAGAGCCCATCAACTGGAAGGACCTGTGACCTGGATCCTGGGGGTGATGTTGATCCTGGGGATTGGGGTCTCTGAGCAGTTTTCTAGAAGCTGCGAAATAGAAGTATTGGTTGTTTATGAAGTCGAAATAAGAAGAAAATCTCCCTCATGATTCTTAAGCACCCTGCACAAGGGAATGTGTTTCAGGCGGAGCAGCCATGAGCCAGGCTGCCTGGGAGTGGCGACTTTATTCAGCTAGAGATAACTGGACCGCACCAGCTGTGGCTCAGGCTTCCCGGAAGGGACCTGAGGTCGAGTACTGACTCTTCCCCTTTGTTACCACCTTCGTGGTCAGAGCAGGGAGAGAAGCCTCTTCTGTTAAAGCCAGCTGCTGCTTGTTTTTACCTGATAGGTTAGACTTTAGGTTTGGGGATGCTGACTGTTTTTATTTGGAAAGGCCCCCTTTGCCTACCCTGGCATTTCAGTCTGATCTGTGGTCTTTCATGGAGCCCTCAGGAAGACTGAGGATGTTTTGCCAGTTCCCAGAAATTAGGGATTGATTTCCTGCCTGTAGTAGAGGTGAAAATTGCTAAGGAACCATCCTTGGTGTGAACTTTCAGTGAATAGAAGCTGGGAAAAGCAAACTTGGTCTTGTTTATACAGTAATTCTTCAGGTGTTTCTAAGGAGTAAGCTATGGAGGTTGAACATGAAGCAGAAAGTGTTTTTAGGAGGAAAGAAATGCTTTCTTCCTGGGTACATCCTGAGTTGAAGTTTTTGAGCCACCAAAGACTGCCAATGCTGTTTTTTTCATTTAGAGGGGCGGGGGTGGGACTGAAATCACCTTAGGATTTTTCTTTTCTGCAACACTGGTGAATTTTGCTTTTTTAAAAAGATACACAGATATGTATATATATTTTTAATCTTTTTAAGCGACAACCTTTATTAGGTGTGCACCTCCATCCCCAGATGACACAGTTTTGCTGTAAGCTGGGTTTAAAGGGTTAACCCGGCTGGGTTTAAAGCTGCCTGAGTTTGATAATAAAAGACTGTTGAAGTTTCACTTGTGCCTAGTTCTTCTGGGTCCTGGGTGGATGCCCTTGGACTATTCTTAACCTGGGGTCACCATGGCAACCATTGTGGGCAGGAAGGGCCACACTTGCCTGTGTTTCCTCCTTTCTCCCACCCCTGCCCCACTGCCTGGCAGCCTCGGGAAGCCCTGGGCCTCCTGAGAGGGGCTCAAGCCGGAGGAGGTGAGGCGTGCTCAAAGCTGGGCACCCCTTCCCCCCAACCCCAAGTAGCACCCTGAGCGCTGTGGAGCGTGGGCAGGGGCTAGATGGGATTGGGATCTGCTGGGACCCTCAGGGAACCTCTTCGGGCTGGAAAACATATTTTTCCTGCTCTTAATGTTGAGAAAGCAGCCATGGATCACCAGGCATTTGAAGCATGTGCAAGTCAGAGGCCAAGATGGCAAATAAGGCAGATGCACTGGAGACTAGTTGCTGCAGACACAGATTATTCTAGAAGAAAACATCAGAAACTGCTAACATTGATCCCTGTGGGGAAGCAACCTGGGTAGTTGAAGGACAAGAGGGAAGCAGACTTCCTACTGAACTTCTTTTGAACCTGTAAAATTATTTTAAACTTTGTTCTCATTTACCTTTCAGCCGGCTCCCTCTCATGTTTATATTTTACTGAACCACAGTACAGGGACCAAGACCAGGAATCAAAACGGTACAGGGGCTTCCCTGGTGGTTCAGTGGTAAAGAACCTGCTCGCCAGTGCAGGAGATGCAGGTTCGATCCCTGGTCCCAGTAGGTTCCACATGGTGAGTACCAGCTACTGATCCCACGTGCCCCAGAGCCCGTGCTCTGAAACGAGAGGAGCCCAGGCGTCAGAGTGGCCCCTGCTTGCTGCAACTAGAGAAAAGCCTGCACAGCGGCGAGGACCCAGTGCAGCCAGAAAAACTTAAAAAATGCAGTTGCGTTAAAAACGTTTGTACAATGCTGCCTACTAAATATGAGCTTTATTCAAATTTCTCATTTTCCCAGGAATGTCCTTTCTGTAACCGGATCCGGGATGTCACATTACACTTTGCTATAATGTCTCGTTCAATGCTGGTCTGTGACATGTTAGTCTTTCCCTTGATTTATCAATTTATACATTTTTGGCAATAACACAGAAGCTATGTGCCCTTCTTGGTACACCATCTCAGGGAATTGAGATTACTTTGTTCCACATGGACTTGTGCCTGTGGATTCCAGTGCATTCTTGCTCCTGGCTGCCTCAGATCTGTCCCGACACCCTGGCCCGGGGCTTCAAGCTCCAGTGTCAGACTCAAGGATATAGCCCTCCAGAGACAGCTTACATTAAGTAACCCCTACAAATCACCTAGCACTTCCCAGGTGGCACAGTGGTAAAGAACTCACCTGCCAATGCAGGAGATGCAGGTTCAATCCCTGGTTCAAGAAGATCCCCTGGAGTAGGAAATGACGACCCATGCCAGTATTCTTGCCTGGAAAATTCCATGGACAGAGGAGCCTGACGGTTTACCATGGTGGGGGGTGGTTGCCGGTGGTGGGGGGTCATAAAGAGTTGGACACAACTGAGGGACTAAACAACAACAGACCACAGTCACCTAAGTTCAAATGCCTGTGACAGATCCCTTACCCTCTGTGGCTGGCTGTTTCTGCTTGAACCCTAGCAGAGGAGGGACGTTGGTTCAGAGCAGGTGGGTCCTTAGAGCTCAGGGCCTCCAAAGGCCGTCAGCTTCAGCGTCCTCCCAGCAGGTCTGCTCCCAATCCAGCTTTCCCACCTGCCCGGTAGCCATCAGCGGAGGAGGAGGACAGACCCTCCCCAGGCTGGCACTGACAACAAAAGGCTCCACCCCCTGCTGACCCCTGGGCCAAACAGGGAGACTGACCATCAGCCCTACACAACAACCAGATGCTCTGCCACAGGGGTGTTTTGGTAAACGGACCTCTTAGAACTGGGGTACCCTGGGGACAAGGCTGGTATGGGACTCCGTGGGTGGAATCATCCACTCCCTGGGAGGAGGGTTTGGGCTGCAGCATCCAGGGTGGGACACTGCTCTGGGACTCAGTTGGGCAAAGAGCCACACGTGAGCTGGGCTTGGTGACGGCCCATCTCTGCAGCTTGGGCCTTGGGTGGCCACCAGGGGGCGCTGAGGCCACGCCCAGGAAGGCAGTGACGTCCCCAGGGGTGTCAGGGTGGCTGGGAGGTAAGAAGAATTCTGGGTAGAGGAGCCAGAGTCTTCAAGGTTGAGCAGGGCAAATGCCGTGTGCAAGGCAACTCACTGTACCTGCAGGAACTCTGTGCTTTGGCTCCATCTCCTCCCCCTTGGGCAGCTGGAATTCAGAGCTGCGTTAGTGTCACCTGGGGCCCCCGGGGGAACTACAGCGTGTAGGGTGGGGGGCCGAGGGTGGCAGGTCTTGGCCACTTGAGGGTTTCTGTTACCCCTCCTCTGCTTACAGATCATGTGACCCACCGACCCCAGTTCAAGCCACAGCTTCCCCATCTGTACAATAAGGGAGTGGGCTGAAGGGTCCTTCAGGTCTTAGTTGCAGCACATGGGATCTCCGTTGCATCGTGAGGAATCTTGCTTTGCAGCACACAGAATTCTCTAGTTGTGTCCCTTGGGCTCCAGAACGCGAGGGCTCAGTTGCTCCGCAGCATGTGGGATCTCTGTTCCCTGACCAGGGATTGAACCTTCGTCCTCTGCATTGCAAGGTGGATTCACAAGCACTGGACCACCAGGGACGTTCCTAGTATTTCATTTAATCTTCTCGACCACGTGGTGAAGTCATTAGATAAAAAAACAGGCTTAGCCGTTTGCCCCAAGCCACAGGTGACAGAGCAAGGATTCAGAGACAGATCAGTTTGCTTTCAAAGCCCAGTAGTCCTGCCGCTACTGACCCTCTGCCCAGATCATAGTTTCTTGCCGTTATTAGGGAGGGATTTTCAGTGGAGTGTTAAAAAGTTTCCCGAGTTACAACGGCTCCCCCTGGAGACGTCCGAGGACTGGTCTGCATTTAGAGAGATGGCTCTTCCAAAGGCTTGTATGAGCTCCTGTGGAGTGAAGTAGTCTGGGTAAACAACCTAAGCACCGTCATTGGCTGAGCCCTTGACCTGCATTTTTTTCATCCCCTACTCCAGGCTGCCTCTGATGATACCTAGGCTTCAGGAGAACCAGGGCAGCAGGCAAGAAATACGCTTCCTCCTTGTAAGTCCACTGGAGAAAATCCCACGAAATTCACTATTTGATAACTCTTCCTTCTTGAAAAACATGTCCAAAAATGAAGTTGCTCTGGCAGGGTGAAGCTGAAATCATTTGTGCGTTAGTTCAGCGCCCTTAATGGTTTTTCCACTTGCCAGGCCATTTATCTTTTCTCAGAGCACAGTGGAATGCCCTTTTGTGTGGCCTTGGCTCTACCCCCCCTACCCCCAGCTCTGGCTCGGATCTGGAAGTGACATTTGTTCTACAAGCCTCTGGCCCCCCTCCCTCCACACACGCCCCCCAGCTGTGGAACACTCTGTAACCGTGGCACAGAGCCAATTTATGTCTTCTCTGCCAGTCCCTGAGACAGCCACCTGACCCTGCATGGGAACGGAGCTATTTGGTTTTGAATTTTCTTCCCCTGAGTCCTGAAAAATAGGAGACACTTCATCAGGTGGCATCTTTCTTCAGAGGGTTTTTACAAAATCTCTTGCGGGGAGAGAAGCCAGGAGATCTTTTGAAAGTGATCGTCTTGAGCCTTCACTGTGGGCTTGTTCGAGAAGACATTTCATGAACACCCCACGACCTGCTCGGGGTTAATTTTCCGCATGTGTCAGGAGGGCCAAAATGACTTTGTATTGCTGATGGCAGCTTGGACTTGCAACAACCCGTGGTTGAGACATCTAGGGATTTTGAAATAAAGCGAGGAATGGGATTAAAAAAAGGGGGACAGAACTTTTCCCCCCTCCGCCTGGCTTATGCCTGCTCTTCAGAGCCTTGGAAGTGGAGTGCCCTGGGGATATTTTTAAACATCAGGAGCTAGTTCATTTGAAAGTGACATTTATAGTCACCGCAATGAGCAGCTGGCTAGCTGACATTCAGATCCTCAGCAAAAAGGGAACCCAGAAAACAGCCTGGATGCCCAGTTGAAAGGACATGGGGAAAGGAAAGAGGCAGAGGTAAGTGGTAAGTGAGCTCTCCTCTCCCTGGGGTCACTGACCACACAGCCATTGTCCAGGTGGACAGAAATCCAATGCGTAGTGAGGGCAGCCTGCGGACAGAAGCATGGCTGTCTGTGCGAAGCTGATGGAAAGGGCTGGAAATGCAATGGAGATGAAGGGCCTTTCTTTGCTTCTATAAATGGTTGTGTTGCTGGGGATCCCTGTGCGAACTTTTATCAGAGTTTAGGTTTACCTAAAAGGCAAGGGGGGAGATTTTTGACTCCTAAACTTCTGTCTTCAGGAAGAGAATTCTGTTTCCTGTAGATGTCTGATCTCTCAAACTTTTTTTTTTTAAACGCAGACTCTTAAGAGTCAAGCATTTCTGGTGTCCTCTGTGGCTAGAAAGACATGATTTTGTTGCAGTTTGAAAAAGCATAGTACCAAGGAAGTCTTGAATCAGCACGTAGTAAAACAGGGCGCCTCCTTGAACCATCCTTCGGTCTGTCTCGCCTCCTTCCAGGGAGCCTTACCTTTAACAACGCATGCTTTAACGTGTGTGCATGCTCAGTTGCTTCCGGGTCTGACTCTTTGTGACCCCATGGACCCCATGATCCCGCCAGGCTCCTCTGTCCATGGGATTCTCCAGGCAAGAATACTGGAGTGGGTTGCCATGCCCACTCGGGATCTTCCCGACCCAGGGATCGAACCTGAGTCTCTTATGTCCCCTTCTTAGGCAGACAGGTTCTTTACCACTAGTGCCACCTGGGAAGCCCCTTTACAGTGCACAGTTTAGTATAAAACTTCCCAGACCTTATATCCTTCAGACTTTTTGTTCTGAACATGTACTGTGTTCTTGATCCTGTCTCTCACGTCAGCCATTACTGTTATTTTGACACACACAGGCACGACTGAGGGGGAGTTCCCAGGAAGCAGGTCTTTTTCAATTTAAAAACTGGAAGGTATAGACATGGTTTTTAAAATAATTTTTGCTTCTAACAGTGTCTTGGGACATCTTTTCCAAGATGTGATTTCTTTACTGACCTCTCTAGGTTTTAAATGGAAAGACCCAGCCCATCCTAAGTCAGGTGATCAGAGTTGCAAGCATCCCCATATTGTGACTTTATTTGAAGAACTCTGGGAAGGTGTTTTGTATTCATGCAAGAGTTTTATGTGCCCCTGCTTGGGTGTTGTGTGAACTCCCTCAGCCTCTTGTTACCTTCAGATCTGAGATAGAAATTAGAGTATGACTTTATACCAGATACTTGATCTTTATGGGAAAATAAACACTTTAATTAGCCAATGCAGGAGACCCAGGTTTGATCCCTGGGTCAGGAAGATACCCTGGAGAAGGAAATGGCAACCCATTCCAGTATTCTTTCTTTTTAAACTACACTTGTTTGTTTTTAATTGATTGATGATTGCTTCACAATATTGGTTTGATTTCTACCATACATCAGCATGAATTAGCCATCGGTGTGCATATGTCTCCTCTCTCTTGAACCTTCCTCCTACCTCCCCAGCCTTCCCCGCCCCTCTAGTTTCTTACAAAGTCCTGGTTTGAGTTCCCTGAGTCCTACAGCAAATTCCCATTGGCCATCTATTTTACGTGTGGCAGTGTACATGCTTCCATGCTCCCCGCTCCATTCATCTCACCCGCTCTTTCCTCTCCCCTGCCCTTGTCCACAAGCCTGTCTTCTATGTCTATATCTCATTGCTGTCCTGCAACTAGATTCATTAGTACCATCTTTCTAGATTCCCTGTATATACATGTTAATATATCTGTTTCTATTTTTCTCTTTCTGACTTACTTCACTCTGTATAATAGGCGCTAGGTTCATCCACCTCATTAGAACTGACTTGAATGTGTTCTTTTTTATGGCTTAGTAGTATTCCATTGCGGAGAGGGCAATGGCACCCCACTCCAGTACTCTTGCCTGGAAAATCNTGCATGCTTTAACGTGTGTGCATGCTCAGTTGCTTCCGGGTCTGACTCTTTGTGACCCCATGGACCCCATGATCCCGCCAGGCTCCTCTGTCCATGGGATTCTCCAGGCAAGAATACTGGAGTGGGTTGCCATTTCCTCCTCCAGGGGATCTTCCTGACTCAGGGATTGAACCTGAGTCTCTTTTTAAGTCTCCTGCATTGGCAAGTGGGCTCTTTACCGCTAATGCCACCTGGGAAGCCCATTAACTACTCAGGTTCTAATCAGTAGGCTGGGTGCCTTACATCTTGCTTTATGTATTTTTAAACTTTTTAGTACAACAAGTGAACTTTTTTGGGAAACACATTCAGAGGTAGAGTAAATAGCACAGCAAGCCCTACGCATTCACCACCCGCCTCAATAACAGTTGACCTTCTGCTCTTCTAGTTTCTCCTACTCACACATATACCTTTTCCTCCTGTATTTTCCTCCAACAGTTTATTATGAATATTTTCAGACATACAACAACATTGAAAGAAAGTTGCAGTGAGCACTCATACCCCCAACACTTAGATCCTGCCATTAACAGTTTATTATATTTGCTTCATCACATGTCTGTTCCTCTATCTACACTTTTTACACATTTCTTTTCTTTGGCCGAGATCTTAGTTTCCCGACCAGGGATTGAACCTGGGTCCCCTGCATTGTGAGTATGGAGTCTTAACCACTGGACCACCAGGGAAGTCCCGTACACATTTCTTAGAAATTGTAGATTTCAATACCTTTCCCTTTGAGTACTTCAGTAACTTGAGTTGCTATCATTAACTCAAGTTCTGTTTCTCTGGAGTATTTCAAGCAAATCTCAGAACCAGACAAATACTTTAGTACATTGCTCTAAAAGAGATGAGGACTTTTTACAAAAGCCATTGCCAGGACTTCCCTGGTGGTCCAGTGGCTAAGACTCTGCCCTCCCAATGCAGGGGGCCCAGGTTCAGTCCCTGGCCAGGGAACTAGATCCCACACGCCGCCAGCAAGAGTTTGCAAGTTGCAGCTAAGACCTGGCGCAGCCAGTTGAATAAATAAAAATATAAAGTCATTGCCATGATTATCTACCTCCAGCGCAATTAACGCTGATTCCTCTATCCAGTATCCAGCTCATGCTCAATGTCCTCTGGTCATCTCAAAGATTTTGTCTTTGAGGTTGTTTTGTTCAAATTAGGACCCACGAAAGGTCCTAGTAAGTCTCTTTTCACCTGTAGTAATCACTACCCTCCTTTATTAAATGCCAGTTGCTTATTGAAGAAATGGAATCATGTGTCCTGTAGAATTTTCCCCATGCTGGATTTGGCTGATTAAGCACCCTCAAGGCATCATGTAGGAAGCTTCTCGGTCTTTCTTAATAAAGTATTAAGTCTAGAGGCTTGAATGAACTCAGGTCCAAGTGCAGAGCTGTTGCTGTGTACTTCTCATTGTGTCCTGTCGAGAAGAACAGAAATGTCTGATCATCCCACTTGCAGTGATGTCGACTCATCATAGAGTCTGGGGATAACCTGATCTCCGTTGTGAAATTCCTCTTCAAACTTTCCCCAGATGGCTTGACAAGTCACTGATGGTCGGAGCCTAGGACATTATTGTTTCATTTCTGGTTGTGAATAATGGTTTCCTATTGCCATCAATCATTCTGCGTTCATGAGCCATCCCTGTTCTGTAACTTAGAACTTTCACCCACCGTTTGGTAACCTTGAAGTGTACAGGGTCCTTTCCTACAGCAAAGGCAGGATAGATGCTCAGTCACATCCCTTTTTTTGGTAATTCAGTTTCCAAAGCAATAAGCAGTGCCACAGCAACCTTCCACGGTGTCAGTGAGGGGTGGGTTTTGTGTTTGTTTTCATAACATTATGACCTCATGATTTTTTAAAATATCAATATATTTGACGTATTTCAATCCACTGGAATTGTCGTCTTATTTTTTTGGCCCTAAGTATCTTTTCTTTGACAGGGAAGGCGATTCAGGGTGTACCTCCTGTGTCTACATGTCTGCCCCAGCCCTGGAGTCAGTCATTTCTCCAAGGGGTCCCGGTTCCTTTTAGTGGGATATACACTTAGAAATCATATTCTGGACATCAGGGAAGTTTGTGACTGTATGACATGATTTCCGTGGTTGCTCTGTTAGTAATGGACAGGAGAGGCATGACTGGGGGCAGGTAGATGGGTTAGGAGGCTGGTACACTGGTCCACGTGAGAGAACTATAGCTGGAAGTTGGTCTTAGGCAGAGCACTTAGCACAAGGCTTAAAGCATCCTGGGAGATGCAACCAATGGGAAATGCATAAAAGAAACATGCTTTCATGATTTGCATTGTTTGTATATTAGTGAATTGAAACCTTACCAAAACTCTCTGAGGAAGGCATTCTTACTGTCAGGCCAGTGTAAGCTCCTTGGTTTCTCATCACAACAAAGATTTGGAATGACGGACATTAAAGCCCCCTCGGTCTGTCACAGCTCTCGGGTCTTGGACAGACCGTGTTATAGCTCTCAGGTCTTGAACGGACCGTGTTATAGCTCTATTTTATTTAGATAATAGGAGGAAAATCCATCTTCAAGACGTGAGGGCACACTGATCCAAAGACGCGAAGAGAAGAGCGCCCCAGCGGGCGGGAGAGAGAGAGAGAGAGAGCGTTGGCGCCTCTCCCTGGGCCTGTCCTATGTAAATTGGGCCAGTCAGGAGTGCTGTTTGTTTTACCTGAGGTCCTCACTCCAGTCCTCGGACCTTCCTTTGTTCTATTTTCACGGGCTTTTCCCTTCCAGGTCTTTTAGCCACCACCATTTTGGACTCCTTTTCCCTATTTTAACTACCTAACATTACCATCCCCATAGAATCCTCAAGAAAACCAAAGCTCAGAGAGGTGAGGAAATTTGCTCAAGTTCATGCAGGAAATAAGGAGCAGAAATCTTGAATCTAGCATCTCCAGATCCAGTACTTCAACCAATACATACACTGTGTTGTCCATAGATGCCATTATTTCAAACTAAAAAAAAACAAAACCTAGATTAATTTCTGGCACTAAACCTGATCCCTCATCAGTGAGGCTGACTCGCTTACA